TTCACTCGTAACAATTAGTTTCCAACAATAATTAAAATTACAATCTTAAATAAACTACATTATAAACAAAAAGTAAACAAAAAAAAGCAATTTGGAAAAACCAAACAAATATAAACTACGACCATAGTAGTGCACACCTACCTGTACATAAATAAACAAATAAAAAAACCTTAGGAAATAATTAGACACCAAATATCCACTGCTTATATATTCGTTTATATAATAAAAGACAAAAGTAAGCCATAAACATAATGACTACTGATACAAAACGAAGTATATATTTTACAGAACAATATGTTACCGGTCCATTCCGATCCGGACCTGTTTTTTCCGGGTTTGACCCAGACCGGACCGGAACCCGGAATCTTGACAAACCAAGGACCGAAACCCGGACCGGTTAATACCGGTCCGGATCGGTTCATTCCGGTCCGGTTCAGGTCTAAAATACAGTCCGACCAAGTTAATGCACAACCCTAGTGATAGTGATCTACCCACCCTAATCTTGTAAGAAGTATAATAGGGCTTAATGCAACAAATTCTTTTAGTCCTTTGTGATTTAAAAAATGTGTCAAACCCAATGTGTTATGAATTATGATTATTCATGCGCAAAACTCCTTCTATGAACAAATTTAATTGTCATAACAATGAAAAATGATTTTTTGTTTGCAAAATTTAGATATTTTGACAAAGTTACTTGCATATTCAATCATATTATTAAGAAAAGTGATTTCAAAATTGTAAAATTTGTTCTTGATGGGGCTTTTGTGCATGATTAATTATAACATAGGGGGTTTAACACATTTTTTAAATCACAAGGAGTCGATGCATTGAATTTATATTTCATGAGGGTTTAATGCGTTAAACCCGAATATAAAATACGAAGTATAAATTAAAATATAAAAGAAATAAACGCGCACACAAGCAGAATGCATGCACACATACGTAAATATATGTATATGTAAAGTTTAATAAAGTGGTGTCTGACAAACGTTTTTTTTGGATAATTCTTTCTAACCTACATAATATTTGTTCATTGTTAAGGCCAACATCTTAGAAGTGTCACAATGACGTCATCAGACCACAAGATACTTAGCAGTATCTAACAAATGTTAAAAACAATACACTCACTTGTGCTTTTAATTTAATTAATTATCTTAAGTTCTTTTAAATTAGAAATCTGTTTGATCTAGTCGTGTTAACCTTTACTATACAAATTATTAATGATTTTAGTTGTTTTTATCGTAATAAAATGAAACAATCCAGATTAGGAAAACCTACCAAATGGAGAATGTAACAAAATTTAAAATATATTCGAAAAAGGATGTGTTTGTGCGAACATGCATGCGTGAACTCAATTAAGAATTCAATGAAATTTTTAATCACAATTTTTCATTTTATATTCAATAATTGGAAGGTTGTATATGGAATTCTTTGTGTACTCATTCAAAATTAAAACAATCCTTTTTTTTTGTAATTATTGTGAAATTATTACAAAAGATTATCTTACGGGAAAGTTCCCGAAATGGGACTAAAAAAATTCGAAAATTCCAAAATAGGACTGTCATGTTTTTATTCCCAAAATAGGACTAATTACTGCCAGATTTGAAAAATACTGCCATGTTTGAAGTCTGGTACTGTCAAAATATGGCAGTAATTAGTCCTATTTTGGGAATAAAAACATGGAAGTCCTATTTTGGAATTTTCAAACTTTTATGGTCCCATTTTGGGTAATATCTCTTACCGGATTGATTCTAACCCTTGAGTTGATATCAAAGGTAGAGATTACAAGTTCTAATTTATAAATAAGTACTCATTTTAAAATAGGTTTGCATTGGAGTTATTCCCTATATATGTATGCGAGGTTTTTGGATCAAACAAAAAGTTTCATTTTTCATGAAAAGAGATGTAGTGCATCGGATTTAAGATTTAATAACTCTGAATATGTTAAAAAGTCATTAAGGTGGATAAAAAGGCGGTTTTAAATAAAAAACTACTTTGCGAATAAAGTGGACTTATTGTGTGCCATAATGTACCGTCAATGACCAAAAGTAAATGACGGAAAACTTTTCAATGCAATAGTGCACTTGAGATGCTCTAAAGTGGAGACGTTCACACTTCGTACGTGAAGATTACTTTAAATAATCATTCATATATATATTGAATTCAATCATATTTTGTGAGTAGCGATTGTTGATAATTTACCATATCAATTATATAATATTTATTATTACGGAGTATTATTTTTGAATGAAAATAATCTATATTAAAATTAATAAATCAAACAATATTACAATATATACTCAAGATCATACCAACCCCATGCATAATCCCAAATTATTAGACTTTGACTTTGCCACCCACAAATGAGACACAGAAGTCGCTAATCATGTAATTGACAAACTGAAACTTAACATTATTATATAGTCTTCATGTTTCTGTTGCGATTTAAAATACTTACAACTCTACAAAATTCAATCAAGATGAGTGAAGAAAAAGTAATTTAGAGTAGGAGGGGGCACGGTTGGTTAACCGTATTTCGGTTAACCAACTTATGGTTAACCGAGATATCGGTTGGTATATTTATAATACCATTAACCGTACCATAACAACGGTTAACCGGGTAAACTATTAACCATAATATAGGTTAACCATTTATTGGTTAACCGAAAAACCATATAGGCGCTCTATCATCAGTTTTGTTGTCACACAATAAATTACATTTACGTATTGGTAGTTTGCAAAGTTAATTTTAAAGGAGACCACGGAGGCACGAACTACTATTGTTTCTAAAATAATGACTTGGAGTAGTAGTATAATACGTACGTAATACGAAGTACGTAGTTTGATTTATGGTTGTACACAGATGTGCTGTAATACGTATTATATAAATAAAAAAAATGATTTGAAATATGCATTTCCAAAGTTGAGAAAATTGCTTCTATGATTTTGAATTCTGGTTTGACTAATCCGTGAAAAATTCAATTTTCAACTTAAAATGAAATTGTAAGCCAGAGTTCGAACATAAAATTAAATAATAAATCCAAATTGCAATACAATATTTGCAGTTTGCAAATCGATCTGTAGTTCATATTGAATAAAGCTCCTATTATGTACAATACGCAGTTTTGGGAATTCACATTGGTATTTCTTAAACGGAAATGAACAAAATATATGAATTCTGTAGTAATATACAGTACTACGTATTAATTTTGAGTTATCGGCCGGTTAACCGGCGGTATTTAGGTTCATAACCGTTACCGTACCGTTAATAGCATTTCTATCGGTTGGTTAACCGTCCCGCTAGATTTTAAAAACACGGTATGCTTAACCAAAAATAGTGCCGGTTTTGCGGTTATTTACCACGGTTAGTCGGTTATGGTTTTTCTTGCCCACCCCTAATTTAGAGTACTGAAATAGGCAAAATTATAAAAGACAAATCGGCGTAAGAAAATAATAAAGCATCAAACAGCCATCGGTTTTCAGTTATTCGCGTCGTAGCCTAGTTCCACTGGACCTGCGAGTCCATTTTGACTGACTGAAAATTCATGACATTTATTTCAGTCCTGCACTTTGAATTTTGATAAAAATTCCGTACTACTCTTTGCTTCTGTGGCGGTGGTTCTGGGAAGAGCAGATCAACAATGTCGTCATTCATAGATGGGTTGAGAAGCATGAATGAATTTGAAAAAAAAACATATCTTAAACTTGACGAATGTTATCAATATCAATTGAACAATAACATAACACCCTAGAATTACTTGCATCATTAATTTGAAAAGAAGTCACCCATAGAATGACTATCAAAATTGATAGAAGAAGAACTCTAGAAATTCTAGGAAATAAAACACCACTCATACGAGTGTACATGTCACTTTTTTCACTTTCGTATAAACTTCGTTCGGTGATGATTAATTCCCCTCCTACCTCCGTATTGAGAGAAACAAAAGTCCAAAATGCCCAAAGCAAAGGAAAATGCTGGATGTGACGCTCTTCTCGCCCTTCAACGCTGGTTGAGACAGAAAGAAGATGATAAGCCACAATGCCGCCGCCTCCTAGCCCTAGGGCAATATTTTATTGGGCTAAAGAGTCGAATAGGCCCTTGTACTAGTCATGTACGCTCAATTTAGTCCCTCAACTAAATAAAGGCCAATTCGCACCCTGAACCGACAAAAAAGGGTTCAAATTTCATTTTTTACAGGTAAACAATCGATAAAGAAGGTCCAATCCGCACCCTTAAAATATTAAAAAGTGTCAAAATTGCAATAAATCGAAAATAAAAAACAGAAATAATAAAAAAATTAAAAAAATGACCGGTTGTTTACCCGTAAAAAATGAAACTTGAACCTTTTTGTATGATTGGGGTGCAAATTGAACCTTTTTTTAGTTCAAAGATTGAATTGAGCTTACACGATCGATACAAGGGCCTATTCGACCCTTTAACCTATTTTATTATTATTATTTGTACCAAGGTCCACTTGCTGAATTTAAAACAATGAAGATAATAATATTTAAGTTGGTGATGATAGAGAGCTATTCCTGTCCGGAATTTCCGGACAGGAGCCCCGTCCGGCCTCATCCATTTGGGGGCCTTCCCGGTGGTATTTTTTGCTCAAATGTTTTGTGTATGTTCCTCATCAAATCTAGTTCATCCATACCAAATTTGAGCAAAAAATTCAATCGGAAATGTCGTCAAATGATTTTTGCAAGTGTAGTTCATCCATACCCCGACCTTACTTTTTCTGCTTATTACAAAATTTAGCATGCGAAATCAAAAGTTACGTGATTGGTGAAAAATCTGGCTGATAAGCCGAAAAAAGGGGTCACCAAACGGGCTCTAGATCATTTCAAGAGTTGTATCTTTATTAGGCTCATATGATGTGGCCCAAATCATTAGCATAACATGACCATCAGTATAGGGTCAAATCGAACCCCAACTCAAAGTCAAATGACATGGGCTTGATATGGCCCATACCAATTAGCATTATGTATGGACTATGGTCCGTACGGACGAGATGATTCCATTTCGATACCAAAACGGCTTCGTCATCATTGCTCCACCTCTGAGTTACGTGGCTACGTGCTATGGCGATGAGCTCTGAGAAAGAAATATTTTTGAGGGAGTTCTGCGAGGATTACGGTTATCCTAATGCCCCTAAAAATATAGATCAGATTAGAGCTACCGAGTTCAAGCGTTTGAAAGGTCAGTGATTTCGCTGTTCGTCTTTCTTTCTTTCTTCATGCTGGAATCTTCAAATAAAAAACAAACACATGATGAAGAAGAACAAAAACCTGGATCTTGTAACAACTCTCAAGCGTAGGTTTACTTGACTTGTAGTAACTTATGCACGGAACCGTGATGAAATTTAAAAATTTGTAGGTACTGTGTACTTGGATCATGCAGGAGCTACTCTCCATTCGGAATCTCAAATGGAAGAAGTTTTCAAAGAGCTGAATTCTACTGTTTATGGAAATCCTCGTATCCTGTAGCTTCCTTTTCTGGGGTTTTGCTTAAATATGACTAAATTCAAAACTCATTTCTAAGAAAGTGTTCAAAAAAGTGACTACTTTTGCATATGGATAAAAATGTACTCAGTAGGTAATTAATTTGGAAAGCTACGGTGTCATTATTGCTGGATTTTATGTCACTACCAGATTTGAAGCTGTGAAAACATGCCACAGTGGCCACAATAAATTTTTCCTACTACTGTTTTCGGTTAAATTAAAAAAAAAATGAAAAACCAAAAAGAATCATAAAAAATTTCTGGCTACATTTGTGGCGGCAGTTTCCGTCTGCATTTTCCATCTGCGTCTGGGCAGGTGTGGGGTGGGAGCTGTGGCAGAGATTGGATATAAATTACAGAAAAAAATTGATTAATTAAACAAAAAGTTAGTCATATTTTTGGGTAAAAAGGAAAAATAGTCACTTCTTTTGTATTTCAAAAGGCTCGAGGTAATATTTGTGTTCTCCTTCCTTGTTTTTTATTCCCTATATGGAGTTCATGAACACGAACAGATAAAATTCAGAACTTTAGCTATTGTTATACATTTTTCCAAATTCCATATGAATTATTAACTATTAAGTTTTCTGCTTCATATATGTAATATTCTGAATTACATATACCATACAAACGAATGTTTTCATTCTTTCTCTTGGTTGACAAGAAGACCTCTTGTCTGGATAAGATAATTATAAATAATTACATTCCTTAAGCTGTAAAACAATAGATAGCCAAAGCAGCTGCAGCATGAGTAGTAATGACCGTGTTCAAGAAGCACGTCAGCAGGTAAAATCTGTTTGCTATCAATACCTATCGAGTGAGAAGACTGAAGCAAACTAGTATAGTATTTTTCTTCTTTTTGGATGTTTATAATAAGAGGTGTTTTCAAAAATATTACTACAATAAAACTAATATACAAAAATATGACTAAAGTTACTATGAGTATAGTGTCTTGGCCACTTAACTGTAAAAATTGAACATAAGTTACTATGACTAAGTTACTACAATAGTCACTGCACTTAAGAGCTCACATTTTTGTAAACACGCTTTATTTTAATTATAATTTTGTAATTATTTCTTATAATAATGGTACAGGTACTTGAATTCTTTAATGCACCCCCCTTAGAGTATAGCTGTATATTCACTTCTGGAGCAACAGCAGCTTTGAAACTTGTTGGAGAGACCTTTCCCTGGTGCAGTGAGAGCAGTTTCATGTATACAATCGAAAATCATAATAGTGTTCTTGGGATTAGAGAGTATCCTTCTATTACCAGTGCCATATAAATACTGTAATAAGTCATCTCTGGCCATGAATGACACCCTTTTAAGCGGTGCTTTTCCTTGTTCAAGGCCAAAATATTTACTTGAGCCAGGATCAAGAGTTCAAAATTTCTTTTTTATGCTTAGTTGTTTACATTGATTGTTCATAATCCTTTGTCCAAGAAAGGCATTTTCTAGAAATATGGCTATATTTGGTAATCCCAAATTAATCACACAGTACTTCACGATTTCCATACTAAATGTGATTGTTATTTTTCAAAGATTGAACCTGATGGCCGGGACTGGAAAAAAAGGACTTTACTCAGTAAAGTGAAAAAGAATATTACAAAATCTAAGTTTTGGAAGCATTAAAAATTGAGAATTCACATGGTGAGCTACAGAGTATTTATTCAATGAGAGCGCTCACTTTATGTCTAGGTGAGTTCTTCTTGTTCTTCTTCTTCTTCTTCGACTTCTTATATATAGAGATAATTTGCAGTAATAACTTAAATTCTTTTGGGAAGTCTTGCAAGGATTAATTTGGGATACCACTTAAAAACAAGGACTGATTAGATGATTGATCGTCTTGACATATTTATGATTTATAATAGTTGTTATGGATTATTAGTTTTCTATATATGTATTGTACTGATTAGACTGATGTCACTAGTTATTTACTAGTACAAAACCAAGTGCAACTACTCACCAGTTGGCCTTGACAAAGTAGCCACCGGCACCGATTTAACTACATAGACCCCAATGCAAAATTCTTAATGTGCACAAAAATTCCTTTGTTGAAAGAACCCATTTAAGTACTGATCTTTGTGAGTTACTATTTCCTTGATAAGATCCAGATATGCACTTAATAAAGGAGCTACGGTATTTGCTGTAGATGCTAGAGATAATGATAATTCACAAAGCAATCAATCTACCTTTAAGATTTCACACCGCCCGATACAAAGAAGGTTTGAAGCTGAACTGCTAGAAGAAGGATCGACAGGTAGTTATGTCTATATGGCGATTGATAGAAACTCATGTGGCCATACATCTGCCTTTAATTCTCTAGAATGGCTTACTGTTAGGAGTTTTTATAAAGCCTGTTCTATAGCCTTTATAGTTCTCACAAATACTTTTAGGGCTCAGGATGTAAGGCTTCCATAAGAGGGGGAATAATGGAGAATATGGAAAATAATATTTGATACTTTGAGGGACTGGGGGTTTATTGTCTAGTGGAATTAGTCATAGTTAAATATTATAGTTTTATTATTTGATAGTTCAAATATTTGGCAGTGCATTTTATCCTTTTGATAATATAGTTCAACATTGTTGGGAAATGATTGTCATGGACTTTGATAGTTCAATATTAATTTAAAGTCTCATGTTTCAGTTGAAGGAGAAAGTATCTGCTTCTGTTTTGATTACATTTCTCTGCAGCATATATATAGCTAATTGCTTGTTATTTTTAAAATTTATGCAGAAAAGGTTTACAACTTATTTGCGTTTCCGTCAGAGTGCAACTTTTCGGGTAGAAGGTTCAACCTTGATTTGGTGAACTTTGTGAAGGAAGATTACGATGATATCTTTGGAAGCTCTCTGCCTCATAGGTAATTCATTAAATAAAGTTTCATTCTCTTTTATCCTTCTTTCTACCAGCTGTAAAGCCTGAAATAACAGGTGGAGGGCCTTTTGAGATTTTTCACGACGAGACTTTTTGCATATGAAAGAAACAGAATTTGTGTCATATATTTCTAACTTTCTAAGAAATTTCATTCTTTTCAAAATTGATCCCCGGGGGCATAGCTCAAGTGAAGGGTGGAAGGGGATTACAACTCCGCCTCACTTACATGCAAGAGTTGAATTCCTACCAAGGGCAAGAATGATCCCTTGGTACAAAGTGAATCTACAACCTTCACGAGCAACAACCCCCAATATACATACTTCCCCAAGGCAGCAGAGATGATGGTGCCTCATTGTGTGGGGTACACTATTTTCATTAAATCATTACGTACTTGTGCTGAAAATACAGTCATAAGTTTGTTATGAACTTTTCTTTACAAATACATATGGTATATTCGATTGTAGGCAGTGTTTTCTAATGCTTCGGAAAAGCACTTTTCAGCTTTTTAATTAAAAACATGGTGTTTTTAAACACAAATTTGTGCTTAATTTTAAGCAATTTTAAGCATGGTTGTTATGTTGTTGCCTAGTCAGCGAGTAGGCGTCATGTTGTTATGGAGTGGTTACGATGTCACCTTGCTGGAAGAAAACTAGTCGTCCACTTCACGAGGTGTAGGTTTGGCAAAAGGGTGATGCCAAATTTGAAGCTTATACCGACTAGACTAAGCCCCAAAAAAATAGATTTCAAAACTAAATTTTAGGAAACTAACTCAGTTTGGTAACCTAACCTCTATTTTCAGGCAACCTTTTTACTAAACATGTACTTTTTGATTCTGTGGGTTGAATTGTGTAAGTATCAAAATAAGTAAGGTTGAAGTTACTTTCCTTTGAAATTGGTGAAGAGAACTATTATAGCTACTTTCCATATATCTTTGTCTTTATTTATTAATAAATTAATTTTAAATATTTTTTTCACCATTCAGTCAAACCAGTCCCTTCTACTAGAATTTCATCATTTTTAGCAGATTCAGCTAGTATCAGAGTTACCATGCGGGCAATAATTTTATTAGGACTATTATAAATAAAGTCCAAGTCTTATTTGACGATTTGTAAGATCGAGTTGTCGAACTCTAGTCGATGTCTCCAAGAAGCATGTATATTTTAGGCTAGAACACAATCAAACTCCAGGTCTCCAATCGAAGGAGAATTTCAAATCGTGGACTGAATTTTCCTTCCCCAGACCCATTTTCCATTTTCTTTCTACATTTTCCCTTCCTTTTCATTATTTTCTAGTTCCATGCATATATTGCATTTACTATTTTGTATTTCATAAATTATTTTTCGTACATTATATTGAAATCCTTATCTGAGATGAATTTTTTTACTCTTTTTTTGAATTAATAAACCTTGTTTTGAATGATTAGTTGTTGGTTTCAATTTTAGGTAATATATAATTTAATTTGTACTATGTGATACTACCTCCGTTCTTAAATAAGTGCAACATGTTGAATTTACACTATTCACAAGTTCTACGTTGACTACATTTTATTTATTAATGTATATAAATTAGTTATTAAGAAATATTGTTTACACTTGTCTCATCGTAAATTTTTAAAATCTGAATTTTCTAACTTCACTAATTGTTAAACGTGAAAAGGAAGTGTTGCACATAAAAAAGAGAGGTAGTATAGAATACATTACAAATGAGTAATGATCATGTCCAGCTGGATGGACAGGATCCTCCGTCCGGCCGTCGCCGTTTAGGGTGGGGTGGGCAGCTGGGTGCAGTGTTTTTCTATAATTTATTTAACCGACTTCCCGATCAAGTTTTAAGGTGAAATTTTGTGGACATAATCTACATTTCATGGAAGAACATGCTCAAATATATTTAAACATAATATTTTATAGATTTAAATATTGCATATGGTGGAATTAGTCGCCTAATTGTCGCCAAGCTGGACGCCTAGTCGCCTAGCCTTGTTGCTGTGACAACCATGCTTTTAAGCCAAAAGCTGAAAGTAGCATTAGTGATGCTTTAATCTGGTTCTGGGTTATTTTGTAAATAACTTAAACTTTTGGGATAATTCAGTTTCTAACTTTTCTGTGTATATGCAATTATGCAAACATACATACCCTTCTCTTTAACCAAGTCATCAAAAATTGTGTTCGATCCGCTGATCCCTAAAGCTACCCTTCTCCGTCGATATGTGAGTCTTCAACTGAAGAACCCAGACCTGACAAAACTGCAAGTCTCCAACCGAAAGAAAACAAACTAAGTCTCCAACCAAAGAAGACAAACCTTACAATCAAATAGCTAATAATTGAAAAACCTAACTACAAGAGTGCTAATAACTGAGTGCTTGTTCCAATCTTACCTTGCTTGTCAAGCCCTAGCTCACGATCTCCTCAGACTCGCGATTTCCTCCGACTGATGCAATCATGCTAGGTTATTTTTAAGTATTTATGTATTCAATATAAATAGGGGCATTTATGCAATTTAACAAAATATTATGCCAACAATCTTTTTTACCAAACATTAGCTTTAACTTTTACACTTATCACTTTTATTTTAACACTATCAACTTTTACTAATAAGCACTTTCTCATAATTCACTGAAAAATCACTTTTTCAAAGTAGAAGCAAGAACAAAGACTGCCTTAATAGCATTATAGTTTGGTTGAAGTAGCTAGGGGTTTATTCATTTATGATTCACCCACCAAAATTCCACCTTGTCTTTGCATTGGTTCCTGACTTCCTGTCTTTTGTTGCTTAATTGCTAGCGAAATTGGTTTTATAATACATTCATCTAAAAAGTTTCTTAACAGAGGCAAGTGGCTTGTTCTGATTGATGCTGCCAAAGGATGCGCGACAGACCCACCAGATTTAAACAAATACAGGGCAGACTTTGTTGTCATGTCGTTTTATAAGGTATATGGGTACATCCAAACACTTCGTATATTTAAATATAAACTACTAGTCTACTTGTGCTAATGTGTTTCTTCTTCTTCTTCTTTTGTTATATAAGATGTTTGGATACCCAACTGGCCTTGGTGCGCTAATTGTTAGAAATGGTAATAAGGATGTGTGTTGTTATCCTTTTTCTTTCATGTTCATCAATTTAGTAATTACCATACTTACTTTCTGTTACTCTTTCCATTTCTTGTTTTGTGTAATGTATCCTCTAGAAGTCAATTTTTATTTTATTTTGAAGAAAAACTAACAAATACATCCTCCTCACTTGCAGAGGTTGCAAAGCTACTAAGAAAGACCTACTTCAGTGGAGGTTTTTCTCAAATTCATTGTTCATTGTTGTGTAACTCAATGGTCGCAAATACTATAGGGTTAATGTGCTGAATCCTCCCTCTTATATACAAATTCAGGCATTAGCCCTTCGTGATTCAAAAAATACTTCCAAACCCCTTGTGTTATATTTCATCACGCACATTATACCCAGGAATGCTAAATTTAACTCCCAGGAAAACATGCCCCTTTTTTGTTGTGGTTAACCATGATTTTTTTAATTGTTTAAAAAACACTATTATATATATGAAGAGTGATACGAAAAAGAGGGGGATACGAAAAAAGAGAAAATCCGGAAGCAAATCTGGTGCAACAAACAAACAAGGCAATTAAGAGAAATTGGGCCAAGAGGAAAATCTGTAACCAGAAAGTGATTTGACCACATTAAGACCCAATCGTCACTAATTTTGATCAATCCTAACATAGCCCTCAGCCAACTCAAAATGGACCTGGGCCTGATCCACAATGGACAACCCAATGATGTCTGGGCCAAACGAAAATTCCACGCATTTAAACTCAGACAAAGAAACTGAGGCCCGATTTTCATCACGGAGGGCTCAAATCCAATGAAGGTCCGAGTCGTCTGACATTATTGAATTTCAGATTACACAGATAAGAAAGATCCAAACGGTGCCTTCATGTTGTCATCCAGATCTGAACTTTGTACATCGTTCATGGCCATCGCCGGTGCTCTTTCATCACGCTCACTGCCAGAGACGGTGAACACTAGATAGTTGAACAAAATGAAAGAAAAGAGATCACAGCGCCGGTGCTGTGAGTGTTTACAGAGATCTGGCCTTCGCCTTTCCGGCATTCCCCCCTGTCTGTAGAACTTAAAATGTGTGCAGATATCTAATATTATACTCCCTCCGTCACGGTGTTATTGGCTGGTCATAACGTTAAATGATCCATGTCAATAATGAGATTATTTTTAGTATATAAAATTACATATTCAGAAACTACATTAAAAGTTTTATAAAGTCGCAAAAAAACTCAAATTTGATAAAAGTTAGATATATAAAGTAAAAGATTAATAACAATTTACGTTGACTATAGAATAGTGGACGGGAACCTTTACATGGGACGGTGGTAGTAATTATAATAATTATAATGCCAAATGTGCATTTTTACTAGATAGTTACATTTTTGTTTTGATATATTATCTGCATGATTAATCATAACACAAGAGGCTTTGATACATTTTTTGAATCAGAAGAGCTAATGCACATAATTTGTATATCTTAGGTGGGTTTGACGCATCAAATCCCCAGTACTATTCTTATTTTATTTTTTATATCCTTTACTAGGCACAGTTGCTGCTGCTATCGCTGACACTGACTTCTTCAAAAGAAGAGAAGGCGTGGAGGAGTTCTTTGAGGATGGAACAGTATCGTTTTTAAGCATATCTTCAATTCTGCATGGATTCAGAGCACTCAGTGCTTTGACTGTAACTTCTATATCTCGGTGCGCAAGAGATTTTTTTATGGGAGTCTAATGAGATGAAGATGTTATGAAACACGCTTTTCTTTGCCATGCTAGGCATACAACATCCTTGGCAACCTATGTGAGGAGAGAACTCTTAGCTTTGAGACATGAAAATGGACATTATGCTTGCACAATTTATGGAGTGAAAACTCCACAGGTGAGCCTTATATATGAAGTCCTCAGGTTATGTATTCCTGGATTGGTATGTGCATGGAGTACAGTAGTAATCATCTAAACACTTTCAGATGTTACCTAGTAATGTGGGCCCGATAGTTTCCTTCAATCTAAAGAGACCAGATGGGACATGGTATGGCTATCGTGAAGTGGAAAATTTGGCATCCTTAGCCGGAATTCAGCTACGGGTAACTGTTTTAAGACCATAGCTTCTAATTTTAAAAAATGGTATTCATGAATAGTTTTGTAGGGTTGTGAATGTGTGCATATAGGTTTAGTTACTGTGAGGGGATCTTTCTGAAAGATCTTTGGCATTTTAAACCATTTTTACCTCTCCACAAGCATGTGCTGACTGCTGACTTGCATTAATGCTCTTATACGACTTGCAGCTTTGCTTTAAATTTATTTTTTTCTTTTCTTGTTTCGTAGACAGGATGCTTTTGCAATCCAGGTGCCTGTGCAAAGTACCTTGGTTTATCACATTTGGATCTTCTGTCAAATATTGAGGTACATCATATTCTGTGTTTCATAGATGGAGGAACAGATGCGTACTAAAGCCGGTGCACTCTATGATTTATTTTCTTTTCTCAAAGGCTGGGCATGCTTGCTGGGATGACCAAGACGTTTTAAATGGAAAACCAACTGGTGCTGTCAGAGTATCCTTTGGTTACATGTCAACATTTGAAGATGCCAGGGTATCAAATGATATTCTTACTTATTCATTGTTTGTCATATTATTTATCACATAGGACTCTGATATATCATATCTGGTATGCAAGTTTATAAACATACCTTATACAGCACTAAATTTTAATATTTATTGCTATCAAAGTTATAGCAGATATTTTGAACAATATTTATAGCATGGTTTCACACAAGCACAAGAGTTACATGTACTCATCAGTCAATATCACCTCCAGTGTTCGTTATTGTGCAATGCTTTATTTCTCAATGACCTCCTAAGTGATTTTTGGGCCTAATACGCGCTAAGGCAACTCTTGGATTACACAGCAACGACAGCATTGAGGCTTGGGCCTTTTGTGCTGACGCGTATGCAATGAGGCAGAATTGAGGCATACGCAATTGCATTTGCAGGATTTAAAGAAATAAGTTGTGCTCTTAAAATTATAACCCATTCTGCTTTTATAACATGCCTTTCATCTCAAACTGCTTTTTTTCCCATTGTTTGGGCTTTTATAATCCCGAGTCAAAATATGTTGATGAACCTATCTTTCATTCCTCAAGCTAATGAACTTATTTTATGGGATTCTTTGTAACTAAAAATTTGTTAAATTTGAATGACTGTTTTATTGAGTTAAATTGGTATTAAGAACGGAGTCTAACGCCCTATGAAGCATGGAAACTTTCCACAGCTGATGTTTCCCCATTTCACGGAAACATGTCGGAAACTCAGAAAATTCAAATTCCCATTTCGAGATTGTTTCCGTAGTTAAGAAGAATTGGTAAACCCATTTCCCTAAATAATTGGTATTTTGGAGACTCCGAGTTTCCATTTATTTTTTCCTTTTGATGGAATTCTATGATTAATAGGAGCCTTGGCGCACCAGTTAAGGTGTTGTTGTGTGACCGCGAGGTCACGTGTTCAAGTCTTGGGAGTGGTCTCTTGTCAAATTTTGACAGGGGAAGTCTTGCTCATTATATGCCCTTGTGGCGGGACCCTTCCCCAGACCTCGTCTTGCAGGGATGCCTTCGTGCACTGGGCTGCCCCATGGAATTGTATGATCGAAAGTAGTATCTGTTTAAAACTTTTTGGTGATTTTTTTTATAGGATTTCTTCCTGGCAGCATGTTGATGTTAACACAATGAATTGCTAGAAATGTGATGAATTTTATGTTTAATTTAATACTAATAATTAATACGAAGTAGTTTCCAAGTTTTTTGAACATGTAGACTGTATTTATTATTGGTTATCAAATATGTCCACACACAAACACATATAAATGAAAAATTGTACAACAACAAACAACAACAACATTGCCCCAGTGCTGCAAAGGGTCCCACCTACGGTTGAGTAAGGGGGTCGGATGTAAGCAACCTGACTTCTGTACTAAAGGCGCATAGAGACGGTTTCCGGATGACCCATGATGAAAATCCCTTCAAAAGTTGCATGGACTAGTTGTTGCTTCATAACAAAGAAGCGCAGACAGTTTAGTGAGCCATTTTGGTGTATACCATCATATTCCCAAAAAATAGTGAGTCTTTGGCTCCATTGGAAGTGATGGAACAAATGAAAAAATGTACATGTATGAAAATTATCTATAAATATATCTATATATTTTTTAAATATTTATGTATTTCCCTCATGTTATGTATCCTATATTAATATTAGAAACCCATTTCGCGTTGCCGTGCTACTTAGCTTACGCCTCATTGTGCAATGAGGCTTATGCGATATACAATTCCTAAAAATGGCCTCAACTGTGCAAAACACATTTCGAACATTGTGGTCTGCCCATCTCTTTTCAATTCCTCTGGACAGTGCTTTAAAAGTGTGTTGGGTTTATGAGTGGAAAACTTGCTTGATTGTTTTTTTTGCCATCATTTGCTCTTCCACTTAATAATATAATGTCACACTGATGTACTATTTTCTTCATTTCATACACCGGTCTTCAGAAATTTATGGAATTCATTGAAAGGTCCTTCGTGTCAATTCATTGCAGAGGAGGTGTTATGAGTGCAAGATCTTTATTCCCTTCAATCAAAGGTTATATTTTGATCTCCAACATCTCTTTTTCAGAATGACTTGTATTTTGGGTTGTAGATTCATTGGATGTTATAGGTTATGCAATTTAATTAGAGCTTCCGTGAATATGAGCTTATGCAATTCAAATGCTTTTCTACCATTAAGCACAGAAACCTTCCGCGGCTCACGTTTTCCTGTTTTGGAAACTTGGAAGCGTGTGCAAACTTGGAATCTTCAAATTCCCATTTCGAGGCCGTTTCCGTAATTAAGAAGATTTGGGAAACTATTTTCCCTAAATATTTAGCGTTTCAGAAACCTTTGGTATCTGATTTTTCTTTTTTTTATGGGATTCTGTGATGGAAAGTAGCGCCTTTTAAAAATATTTAGTGAATTTTTATGGTATTTCTTCTTGGTAATATTCTGACATTTCATAACGCAATACATTGCTAGAAATGTAATGCATTTTATTTTTAATTTGTTACTAATGTGTAATGATTCCTAAATTTGAATATGTATAATGTATTTATTGGTGGCTTACTAAACAAGTTATATGAAAAAAGTGCATATACATAAATGAAAAACCTGTGTATATATAAAAAAACTATTTATAATATATTCATGGTTTTTAACATTTACACGTTTCCCTTTTCGCGTTTCCGGGCTACTTAGCTTTTTTCTAACGATGGCTTTTAGCCTGTCATTGTTATCTTTATTTGATCTGCTCCACTGCTAAATGCAGGAACTGAAAAGATCACCACTCTGCACTTCCTCAGATCTATTATGGTCTATCCAATAAAGGCATGTTCAGGTTTTAGTCGTGATGACTGGCCTCTGACAAACACAGGTATTACTGTAAGCATCTACTTCTCTTTAAGTACAGCGCTGCTGGCATAGCCATTTGTTAGGATAATTTTCTGTGTGCTTTGAGACCTTATTTTTACAAGCAGGAGTTGTCTTGACTCCTAAAGTCTTCTTATTGTGCAACACTTTCAAAAAACTAGCTTATCGTTTTTTTGTGGTTTAGGGCTACTGCATGACCGAGAATGGCTTCTAAGGAGTGCCAGTGGTGAAGTCCTCACACAAAAGAAGGTAGATAATCTCTTCTCTCTCGCTTCTCTTCTTTTTTTGTGGGGGGTGGGGGGGGGGGACAGATCCCATCTGCGTCCATAAAAAAAAGAATTAACCATATAACCCCTAATAAATCTTCTTTTTGATGATTTATCTAAAAACCCAAGCTCCAATCAATTCAATGGTTCTCCTACTAGGGAGCTAACACTGTCTTCTCTATTGTTATTTTAGTTCATAATTCTAATGAGATACTAGATTCCAGAAATGTGTCTTATCAAAACATCCATTGATCTCGAGCTGGGTGTACTGTTTGTTGAGTCTCCTCGTTGCACAGAAAAACTGCAGATTAATCTTGAGTACAATTCGAACGATGCAGTGCAAGGAGAAATAGATGTAAGAACTCAAAGGTTTGTGCATTTGTTTTACTTTGGTGGCTTCTTTATGCATTGATTGGTCCCATTGCAACCAACATGTTAAGAAATAGCACAAAGGAAATAATGAAGAGAGTGGCATACTAGCTTATTGTGTAGCAGTTTAAGGGGTTCGATAAAATGGCCAAAGTGTAGTTAAAAGCACTTTTAGCAAAATAAGCACTACAGTTAAATATTAATGGTTTTCAATTTCATAATATTATTTTTATTTCAATAAAAACGTCAAAATACTTAGATGAGTGTGGTTGAGATGCATATGTTGCGTTGGATGCGTGGACATACTAGAAAAAACCATTTGAGGAATGAGGCAATCAGATAAAATGTGAGAGTACCACTTCTTGAAGATAGATACCAGAGTCTCGGTTGTGGTGGTTTGCCATGTGTGTAGAAGACAGAGTGATACGCCTTTAGACGAGTTGAGAGGTGGTGAGAAGAGGCGGGGTGGAGAGGGAGAGGAAGTCTCAAACAGACGTAGATTAGAGGGGTCAGGAGTGACATGGTACTCCTTGGGTTAGACGTAGATAGTATGGCTTTGGAGAGAGTGAAGTGGAGGGAGAATTTACGCGTGGGCGATTGATCTCATTTTATCTTCTTTATCCTTTTTTATATTTCTCATCTTTCTTATCTTCTTTATCTTTTTATCTTATCTTATTATCTATTTATCTCGTTTTTTTATAACTGTCTGATCTTTATGTTTATCTTATTATTTTATTTTAATTTATATTTTCATCCTTTTCATCTTTTTAGCTCCGGTTTCATATATCGATTCATGTTGGCTGATCCCAAATTCTTTTTGTACCAAGTCTTGGATGATGTCGTATAAACATCCAAATATTTCAAAATTAGGAAATAGTGTGTTTATGTGTTTCAAAAGTTAATACACAAACAGGATCTAAAGTAATTTTATTTTTAGAAGAGTAAATGTGTGCATTGTTTTGGTAGAGAATGAAAGTTATCTCTAGAATTTGTAAATGACAATCTTTATCAATGTTTTGTGGTCAAAATAAGAATTGTTTTGGGTTGGATTGAGTAATTTTTTCCTTCATTTTGGATAGGCACAAAGTCCAAAGTTATGTCATTGAAGTGAACAGTTGGTTCAGTGTTGCTGTCGGTCAAGCTTGCACTCTGCTACGAAATTCTGGTGCCCCGAGAGGCAACTGCTCTAAGGGCAGGGGGAACTATAACACAGGGAGTTGCAATGATAATCAAGCCAAGTTGAATTTTGTTAATGAGGCCCAATTTTTGATGGTTTCTGAGGAAAGCGTTGCTGATTTAAACAACAGGTTACGCTCAAGTATGTACCACCCGCCTTTCTTGTTATCTTTAATAAATTGGGCGTCTTTGCTTGCTCATGCAATTGAAGTTGCCATCATTTTCATCCCCCAATGCTCGGTTATGTTTTTTTAGTCGATCAACCCAACTTTCTTATGTTGTCTGAGAAACTGAATTGATTTGTTGCTCTGTATTTGGCCACACAACAAAAAGGCGCTGATGCAAAGGTGGTTGAAGTAAGTACGATGAGATTCCGACCCAACCTTGTCATATCCGGGGGCGAACCATATGCAGAAGATGGATGGAAGAGCCTTGAGATAGGAGGCAAAATATTTACAGTGAGTACTTCCACTTGAAGAATCTTGCTTTTTAGTAAATAATAATTGATTGATTTGATGAACGGAGTAACCAGGTTCTTATTGATTGTGACTTGGTTGCTTCATTGCACACACAGTCCTTTGGTGGATGCAGCCGGTGCCAAGTGATTAACATAAATTCACACGGAGGTGAAAAGCTGCAAAGGTCGAATGAACCTTTGGCTACTTTAGCAGCATACAGGAGAGTTAAGGTTAGCCACAACTAGGGGTGTGTTGAGTATGAGTTATTTGGTTGATTTTTTATTTTTCAAAGGATAAATGTTTGCGTAACATCCATTTGAGCCAAAAAGTATATTAAAGTAGTATAACTTTCTCTGGACACGTTTCATTGTTATGGCAATGTGCATCTGAACAGGGGAAGATACTATTTGGGATATTGCTGAGATATGAAGGTGCTGGGAAGGATTCAGATCCGTGGCTCCATGTAGGCGAACAAATATTTCCAAATGGTTATTTGCTCACATAACAGCAAGTCTGTGGATGTTATGGGGAGTGGGGGACTTTGAATGTTGTTTGCTTGAATAGCAGAAATATCTGGAGCTTCTAAAAAAGGCAGTAATGTTCAAGTGTCATCTCGGTTCTTTTGCTATATCAATTTAGCAAGGAAAAATATACCACGTTATATTTAGAAGTTTTTGTATTTGACTTATTTGCATTATTTTAAAGATATACCTAAATAGGTGTGTGATTGAAGGGAAGATCCCACATCTAGTAAACATGTTGAGGATAGAACTAAATATATTTTTATTTACTCGTCGCCTCGTCGGTAGTGGTGTGGACAGTTGGAAGATGGACAATATGTGTTTTTACACATATTGTCCCAGTAAGGAGAATGCAAAGATTCAAGAAGAGAACAATAATAATTCAAAAAAGGGTGGCAGTGGGGTGTAAAGAGAGTGATGTTTCATCCTAAGTCATAGTTTAGAGTTGAATTTGAGATTTATCCCTTGTGTTACTTTCTTCCTATCAGGTGAGCTATGCCCCATAAAATAATAACAATTAATAACTTTATAAATGGAGGTAGTCAAGTATTCAAAAACAAATATTGGTAGTTTTACAACCTTGGATACAAGGATAACTTGAAAGAGTTGTTATTTATTGCGTAGCATAACTCATACCTTTATCCCAAATGGTAACATACTCTCATTTATGGGTAGACTCGGGCCGGTTGGGGCCTGGGCCCGGCCGGGCCTCGGGCCAGAAAAATAGGGCCCGAGCCTGAACCGCCGGTGGCCGGTTCCGGTTCCGGGCCGGGCCGGGCCAAACCGGTCCATATTTTTTTTTGGTTCTCCTATTTAACCCCCTACCCCTCCCCCTCAACCCCAAACCACCTCAAATGGCCCAAAATACCTAATCCAACCCAAAACTTAAAAAAATTTCAAAAAAAAAAAAAAAAAAATCCGACCCGGACCGGGCCCGAATCGGCCGGGCCGGTTCACCTAAAGCAGGGCCCGAGCCCGGACCGCCCATCACCCGGGCCGGGCCAAACCGAACCGCTGGACCCATCGGGCCCCGGGCCGGGCTGGGCCAAACAGTAACTGGGCCGGGCCAAACAGTAACCGGGCCGGTTCCGGGTTGGGCCGCCCGGCCCGAGTCCACCCCTACTCTCATTTTTGTCTTTTGAAAACTTATTGATAATACATATGTGGTTTTTTCAAAAAATTGTTGGAAAAATTCCTATATATGTTCATCCCAAATTTTGCTCTTGCCCACCCCGTGCTTGGCATGGAATCTGTTCGGCAGTCTTGACCAGTTCAGAATTGATATCGGATTGGAATGTGTCCGGTTTCATGGTTCCTGTTGAGGATCGATTCTTTTCCGGCTTAGGTCTCCAACCTTCACAATAGCTCACACACACCACTCTAAGCTAGACCACAACACATCTCCATGTTTTAACTCCAACCACTAAGGTACTTCTCTCACTCTCACATTAAGGAAGGAGAAGAAGAAGAGCTTTGCTCTAAGGATATCTCACGTAGACTGCCCTCACAAGGAAGAAGAGAGCTACATAAATAATAGGCTGGCTAACAAGGGACACTCACGGGTGATGCAAAGACAAAGGAGGACTGCAGCGAACAGCTCAATGGGGTCGCTCCACATAAGTCAAAATGGCCATATTATTGGTTAGGAGAGATTCAAAAGGAGTATTGAAGTGGGAGTAAATATGGGGTGCAAGTCAATAATATGTAGGCCTTGGTAGGAACTTCCAACATTCTTCGCTTTATTGGTCCTAAGTGGTGTAGAGTAACAATACAAGGTTGTGAGGATACTCATCATCAATGAACCATTACAAGTACATCATTCCGATAATACAAGTAATAGATGAGAACCAAAGTCCCCTTTCGGACCAAGCTTACCATGCAAACCCAATTCGTAATGAACCGAACTCCTACCAATCGGTCCTCGAGTTCAGAACCGAAACCATCACAAAACTATTAACAAACACAACGCATGTTAATAGACCACGCAAGCAAGTAGCTGGGAGAAGTTGGGGATTCCAACTAATCCAACAACCACACAAAGCAAGTACAAGGAAAATAAAAGAAACAATATTATTTCTATAACTAGCACAAGTAGAGCTCACATAATCACTTGGTATCACATTTTCAAAACACAAAGAAAATAGCATACCAAATATCACAAAGAATTTAGTTAAAAGAGAACTAAGCACATTTAAAGCAAACTCGGAGGAAATATAGTCAAACAATTTGCACTTATCATTTCTCTCATGCTTCCTAATATCTTTATATCTAATAACATAGCAATCACGCAACTCAAGCATATTGCACACAACATTCATATCATGTTCCACCTTAATAGAAATATTATTTTCTTTATTTTCAACTTGAAAATCATTTTCATTCACAAATTTGGATTTGGTTTCAACAAGTAAATCAGAATGAAATTCAAAAGGCAAATGCTCCACCTCATTTGGAGCAACATCAGAAGAAACAAGCAATCAAGGAAATTCATTTTCAACAAAAATGACATTTCTAGTTATCAATGCATTAAAGCAAGTTTCACTCCTACACCAAAGCCTATAACGTTTCATGCATTTATGATATCCTAAGAAAACAAATTCCTTAGTTCTACGTTCAATTTCATCATTCTCATGATTCACATAAGCAACACAATCAAACACTCTCAAATTTGGCAAGTCAAGCGGTTTGCCCATGAACACAGATTCAGGGCATTTCCCTCCTAAGGGAACAGATGGGGACATATTAAACAAATAAACAGCATAACAAATAGCTTTCCCTCAGAACTTATTAGAGAGCCCAGATGAAGCTAACATAGCCTTCACCCTCTCTAATAAAGTTCTAATCATCCTCTCAGCAACCCCATCCGGTTGGTGTGTGGAGGGAACAAATTTATGCATAGAAATACCCCAAGTATCACATAAATCACCAAGTTGATTATCACAAAAATCAAAATTGACATTTGTCCTTAAACACATTATTTTCTTACCGGTTTGATTTTCAACAAGGGTTTTCTAGTTTTTAAACTTATCAAAAACATCAGATTTATTTTCAATCAACAAAACTCACACTTTCCTTGAAAATTCATTAATCAACGTCAGAAAATAATTTTTCACACCATGAGTGAAATCATTATAAGGACCACACAAATCACCATGAATACAATCAAGCACATCAGTACACTTAAGCAGATCAAGAAAACCAACTCTAGATTGTTTTCCTAGCACACAAGGTTGCACACAATTCACAGAATCAAGTACGGGTTCAGCATGACAAATATAAAAGTTGTTTTTCATCTCAGCTTTGAAAACAACTAAACAACCCTTCACAACTTTCATGATTCCCTTTTCCCATTTTCCCTTCAAACCCTCATTTTCAAGAGACGCACAAGATAACAAATTACAACACAACTCAAAAACATGCCTAACATTCTTCAAAGTAAGCTTACAACCAGAAAAAAACCTAAAGCATACATCTCTAATTACTAGCACATTGCATTTCTTCTCATTTGCTAAAGACACAGAGCCATGTTCAATCTCTCTATAGTTTGAAAATATTTTTCAAATGAGATATATGAAAAGTACAACCAGAATCTACCACCCTATCTGATTTACCCAAAGAATCAGATATCGCAGAACTCAAATAGGCATAATCACATAGATTTCTCATCATAAAAACATCACCTAAATCATCATCACACGTAGTCAACTTAGCATGTTCACTATGCTTATTTTCTCTAGATTTAGGACAGTCTTTTATTAAATGACCAGGTTCATGACAGTAATAGCAACGTCTCGAATTAGACCTAGGCTTAGATCTATGTCGTCTACTATTTTCTCTACCCCTCACATGCATAACTTCCTCGAATTTTCTACCCTCACCCATCTGTTTTAAATCTAATTCCTTACTCTTAAGACCATTTACCACAATGTCAAGAGTCACATTATCTCTACCATACTTAATAGCAGATTTCACATCACTGAAGGAATCAGGAATAGCATTTAAAAGAGCAATAGGGGTGTTGGGATATATTACCCCGACCTATTACTGTTCAGGAGCCCAAGACTTACGTAGTACGGAGCCCAATCAGTGAGGTTCATTTTATCCTATCAGGCCTGTTTCGACCTTTGGGCCCATTTCGGCCCATTCGGCCCGTTAGGGTGGAGAGCCCCCCTTCCCCCTTTATCTATAAATAGGAGGAGTTCCCTCCTTATCAAGGATCCCCCTTCTTCTTCTCCCTCCTTCTTCTTAGTTAGCTTGCAAGACTCCATTAATGGGAGCTTCAAATGTACTATGTAATGGTGAGGAGAGTCCTAATGAGAAAGAGAGGGCTTGGACATTAGCCTAAAAAGTCCCGTAGTTTTCTTCCTTTCGGGTTTCCACGTAAAAATAGTTTGTTCATACACATTTATACATATACATTTACTATATCGTGTTGGATTAAACTCAACAAGGGGAATAATCATCTACTCCCTCCGTCCCCCTAACTTTGTCCCGTTTTACCTTTTTCGTCCGTCTCATTAAGTTTGTCTCATACCATATTTGGTAATATTTGGGTGATTACAATTCATTCTTACTTTATTCACACTTTACCAATTCAATACCAACCACACAATTCTACTTTTTCTTAAAAACCACACCACACCCCTTTGTCCCAAACTTAGGGGGACGGAGGTAGTATATGCTTATCACCACACAACTTAATATCCAAAATAAGTTTGGTAAAAACATCTAGATTTTCTTCAATATCCCTAGACATATCAATTCTAAATTTGAAGAACTTTTCAAGTAAAAACATCCGGTTAGACAAAGAAGTTTCAGTATACAGTTCATTCAATTTATCCCACAAAATTTTAGCACTCTATAAATTCCAACTTTTCTAATCACAGAGTCAGATAAGTTCAAATAAATCACTCTTATTTTAGTCCCATAATAACAAGTACATAAAAAGTACTATCCTCCGTTCTTCAAATCTTGCAACAGTTTGACTTTCACGTTTGCTAATGCACAACTGTGACTGTAATTATATTTAATTATGTATTAACAAACATTATAAGAAGTTGATATTTTGGAAATTCACATTGATAGGAATTCAATAACATTTTATACGTAATAATTTGATTATGTATATTAGTAGAAAATCGTGATCAAAGTAAAATCTGTGAATAGTGCAAAAAACATAATGTTGCAAGAATTAAAGAACGAAGGAAGTATGTTATAAATATATAAAAAAAATTACGAAAAATAGCTAAAATAGTACTCCGTAATTTTAAACAAATTCGATCGGAATAGGTAATCCCAACATAATTCATTTTAATTATTCTAAATTCAACACTTGAATTTGAAAGTTACAGTATAAAAAATTGATAATGCAAAAGATTATCATTTTTGCTTATTTTTATTAAATAAATGAAATAATTACATATTTATGGCTAAAATAAAGATTTTTTACAAAAATGTGACTAATAACTAGAGTAGTAATGAAATCATAATAACTTATGTTTAATTTTTGAACTTAGGTTACCATGATACTATATACGAGTATTGTAGTAATTATTAGTCGTTGTAGTAACATGATATTAATATAAAGGCATATTTTAACCAAGGATTTCAACCAATCTGGTTGTGAGGTTACCGTGTCTAGTGAGAGGTCTCGAGTTCGAAACCCGCTAGGGTTTGAAACTCAATGGAGTGAGTTTCAGTCTTGATTACTCCAGGATCCCCAAAAAAAAAGCATATTTATAAGGGCATTTTAAGAAATTGTTAAAGATAGTGTTAGTAATGATAACTCAAAAAGCCATCAATTTGCCTTTAAGATGTCGAACCGCCCGATTCAAAGAAGATTTGAAGATGGTGTGCTGAAAGAAGGATGGACAGGTAGACGAGGTAGTTCTTTCTGTTTGACAATTACTGGCCATAGATCTTTCCTTAATTTCCTAGAATGGCTTGATCTTAGTAGATCTTTCAGTAAATCATTTTAATTACCCATGCGAAAAATAAGAGAAAATAAGTTTTCTCTACTCTTATTGACAAATGCCCAAGATTTTTCATTTGTGATTCATTCATCAATATTCCACCTTGTCTTTGTGTTTCATTCATAACTTTCGTTGCTTAAAATTGCTAACTTGAAATTGGTTCTGTAATACATTCATCTGAAAAAGGTGTCTCAACCGTGGCCAGTAGCTTGTTCTGATAGATGCTGCCAAAGGAGATCCACCAGATTTGATCAAATACGGAGCAGTCTTTGTTGTCATCTCGTCTTACATGGTACATCTAATCATTGTGTTGATTAGTTTATCTTCTTCTTTGTTCTTTAAGGTGTTCAGATACTCAAGTGGGTTTGGTTTGCTATTGGTTAGAACTGGTAATGAGTGGATGTGTGTTGTTATCCCTTTTTTCATGTTCATCAATTTAATAACGGTTATAGGTCGCCAGGTCTTGTGGCACATATAAGGGGTTGCTGATGAGTTTGTGTGTTGTTACCAGAACGTCGGGTGTGAGGGGATGAGTTATTGTTGCCCAGAGACTCGGCAGAGAGCGGACACAAACTGCGGCGTAGGCGGCAACAGCAAATTGTGCAGACATGGATCACATAGCCACTCAAGGTAAATTATTTCATGATGTTAAAAAAATAAATTGCTTCTTTCGAAATCGTGCCACCTTTTCTGTGCCCACTTTGTTTCAGCAACCCAAACAGCTCAGGTTCTGGTAGAATTTTTAGAAGTGGCCATCAACTCCGTTATCTTCCTCAAAGGCGTCTACCCGACTGGTAGGTTCATCTTGCAGCATAATTTCCTTCCTGTCACGACACACACACACACACACACATGAGTGAATGAGTAGGTTTCAAGTGTCAGGGGCATTTGAGAGGCGGCGATACCTGAATGTAGTGGTTCATAAATCTCGCCATCCTGAGCTTAGGGACTATATTCACTCCTCTGTCAATGGCCTCCTTCCTTTCATCCAAAAGGTTTCTAATTTCTTTCTCAAATTTATTTGATGACAAATTTACACTTGTTAGGTATATGTTTTTAGTTTACTTTAATGGTGTTGAAGTTCTCTTGATGTAGGGGGAGGTGGAGAGAGTTGCAGTAAATTTTTTTGATAACCAAAATGTTCCAATAGAGAGGTTTGTTTTTAAGATAGATGTGAAGCAGTCTTATGGTTCGAGTGTGGAAGAAGAAGGGGCTGCTGCTGCTGCTGACCTAGAACTCTCATTTAGGTCTTTCTTGATTAAGCTTGCCAGTTCATATTCTCTGACTCACACTCTTCCTCCTGGTAAACCTTATTTCATTGCTATCTTTCCACAAACCTCAAGACTTCAGGATTCCAATCACATTGGCATTACCAGACATGATTGAAATTACTCCTATTTAGGGTGAAAACCTATTACTCCCATTAGGGCAATTTCTTTTACTCCCTCGTCTCATTTAAAGGTTCCCACTTTCCTTTTTTGAACAGCCCACTTAAAGTTTCCATGTTTTATTTTAGGAAACAATTAACACTCTTAAATAACAATTTAATCATCAAATAATAAAAATAATACATCTATAATATCAAAGATGTCTTGAATAATCCATTATATTATATACTCATCATCAAAAATATTTCTCAAAATATAGTCGCATTAGCATATTTAATTATTGTCTAAGAGCCCGTTTGGAGAACTTTGTTTTCGGCTTATCAGGCTTATCAGCCAGCTTTTTCACCAAACACGTAACTTTTACTTTCGCGCGCTGAATTGTGTAATAAGCCGAAAAAGTAAGGTTGGAGTTACTTTTCTGGCTGTATTGGCTGAAGTTACTGTAGAGGACCATTTTAGCTATTTTTACATATAATTTTTTCTTTAATTTATTAATAAAATATATTTTTAAAATATTTTTTTCTTAAATCAGCAGAATAAGCCAAAACAGCCACTCCAGCCAGAATATCATAAATTTCAGCAGAATCAGCCAAAACAACCGATTTTGGTGCTACCAAACGGGCTCTAAATAATAGTGTCATTTTGCAATAAGAACCTTTAAACGGGACAAAGGTAGTATTATTATTGTGATATTGTGATTGTTATTATTATTATCACTACTGCTAATATTACTAATAGTACTAATAATATTAGGTATTTTCGGATTAAATCTAAATTCTTAGTATGATACTAGACAGAAAATATTCAATCTGAAAATCCTAACGAAACGACAAAGTAGATGGATTAACTTTGCTTTTAAATTTGGTGAAAGAGTGTTAGATAAAATATAGTAGCATTCCAAAAGAGCATCTCAAAGTTAAGTTGTCTGCCATCTCTGATCACAGATTGCAGGTGGGAAATAACTGGTTACTTTCGAGCTCTACCAGATAGCCGTAGTAGTGCAAGTAGAATATGGGTTTCCACAGGCACCAAACAGTGGCAGCAACCACCTGTGATTATGCCAATCAAGTCAATGAAGAGTGAAGCGCTTGTGCTGCAACTCTATCTAGAACATCCCCCAACTCCCCTCCATCAAAATTTTTCACTTTCCTAAGACTTGATCTTGAATCTTTCCCAGTGGTTGAGCTAAGGGCTTCTCTCGACATATATGAATGCAAGACAAGATGTTTGATGGAGATTTTGTTAAGCTGATATTTTAGAAACTTTATGAAGCGCACATTACATGAAAGCTAGCAACTGTGATTTTTATATTGAAAATTTTGACAATAATAATCTCACTTTTACTTAATCTCAAAATAATTCCACTTTTACCCTTCATTTTTTTGTCCATGTTGGTTGTTGATGTGGTATTCTAGGTTTTTACCTTTTCTTTGAAAAATAAATAAGTAATCTCATCTTTCACTCGTCATCTCAAAATAGTTCATGTATCATTTTTCTTTCTTTTCCCTAGTAATTTGCCTTTTTTATTTTTATTGCAGACATTTTTATTCCCTTCCAAGTCTTTTTCTTTCTTCCTTTTCCTATGTATTCTATTTATCACTCTATTACGAGAGTTTTTGTAAGTTTTTATTCACAAATAGATTTTTTGCCTTTTTCTTCTTCCTTGTATTTTTGTTGTTCTCTTTTTATGCATCTCTCTTCTAATTCATTCTCTTTTTGTTTTCACCTTTTTTCGTATTTTTTTGTTTTACCTTAATTCCACCTATGTTAGGAGCTCACATTACATAATTGTAGACTCCCAAATATGTGACTTACCATTTTGGTATAATTGGAACTCAAAACAAAATATGACTTGTTTATACATTTCCCAAAAAATGTGACTTACCATATTATTTATCCCTTATTTAATATTACATTTATTATTGTTATATTTCAATTTTAATTGTCCGTAGGGGTGGACCGGGCCCTATCCGATTCCAGTTCGGGCCTGGGCCCGATCGGGCTTGGATGGTTTTGGGTAAGGCCCGAACCGGCCCAGGAGTCTACTGGTTCCGGTTCAATTCTCTTTTTTTGTGTTTTCTTATTTATTTCAACCCCCATCCCCTCCACCCCAAACCCCTCGAAAACACCCAGAGCCCACCTAAACCCAGCCCAAACCCAAAAAAAAAACAAAAAAAAAACAAAACAAAAAACAAAAAAGCCCGTACGGGCCGGGCCGGTTCGCCTTTTTTATGACCCGGAACCGGAACCAGTTACCCCTTCGGGCCGGGCCTAAGCCCGAAACTGGTTTCCCGGGCCGGGCCGGTTCCACACAGTAGCGGGTCGGGCCGGGTGGCCTGAACCGAGTTCATGCCTATCTATCCCCATATTATTGTCTGAATTCATGTTCACTTTATCACATATCTATCAAATTTGATTCTGGTTTTTGCGACTTTGTAAATTTTTTAATGTAGTTTCTGAATATGTATTTTTTTCTAAAAATAATTTGAGTGAGGACAAGAATTTGTTTGCTTTATCGTCGATCAAGCATCGTAGATCGTAATTGGACAAAAAAAGAATGATGTATAAAAAGAATGATTAACTCTTAGAAATCAAAAACAAAAAAATTGAACCGGAACCGGCCCGGAACCACCACCTACCCGGGCCGGTTCCAGTTCCCCCTTTCCCAAAAAAAGGCCCGGCTGGGCCCAGGCCCGAACCGGAACTGGCCCGGGTCCACCCCTACACACACTATGTCTTTTGTGTTTGTAATCTTATGAAATGCATGCACAGTGTGCTGTGTTACAGACTTAATAAAGGAGACAGATTTCCACACCATATACATTTCTCATCTCTATATTCTATGATCTTATCTACAGAAAGCTATGGGTGAAGTCCCAAGCTGTAACATTATTCCAGAATTTCGCATATCCCCCGCCCCAAAAAAATGCCCATTAAAAATACAGCATAACAAAGATACCTTAAGTGAAACACAGCACTACCTATTACATAGTACATACTAGCAATGCAGAACAAGGCAAAAGCATGTTGCCCACCCAACCACAGGCTACCAAAAAATGAAAAACCGTTGTCTTCAGTTGTAAATTCATTCTGGAAACTCCAGAGATGGATTCCTACAAACAAACAAAAATCAAACAGAAACTCAGATGCCAATCATAAATAAGTGATGGTGTAATAATGTCACAGAGTAAAACACTGAAAAAATGGGGGAAGGGGTATATTGGTAACTTTTTAGATACTCTATAATTAAACATGAGAGACATAAGTAAATTCAATTATATTGTCACGCCTAAAAAAGTCATTGTATGCTAAAAATGGTAAGAGATGAAAAACTCCAACTATGCAAGGTTGGAGTTTGAGAAATAAGTAGAATAATATTGTCTTTGATGTTTTTACAAATGAGAGAGAAATAAGCAAAACCACAAATTAGTTATGGGAATGTGACAAAGATTTTGACAAAACCAAAAAAGGAAAGTTTACAAAAGTCCATTAGGACGTAGGGAGTATATTGTGGCGCGTCAAAATATATTGCTATCTACTTTAAAATTGCAGGAATGATGTATATCCTTTAGTGTACTGAAATGTAATTGTAATCGTTATATTTCAATATCTAAAGACCATTAGCCAAAACTGAGCACCCCCCTTTTTCCTTGTGGAAAGATTGGTAAACTCTCTCCGTGCCGTAAATGAGAATTGTGTGTTTCATTAAGGTACAACCTTTCAACTAGGATAAGGTACATCTCATGTAAGCTATCAATCCTAATTATATTTATAAAATTTATTTGTTTGTTAAACTAAACTTGTCTGGAATAAGCTTTGAAACACAGCTGTACTTATCTATCTGATGAAAGGAGTAACAATTTAAAAGGTGGGTAATACTGGGGAGCAACTAACGAATAATCAAATCAAGACAAAAATTAGAGAGTCGCAATTAAGGCCAGGAAGTTGATGACTTGGCTTTCCAGTTTCAAAAAGACTTAACTCCATGTCATGTGTGGCAGACCAACCAGGTTCGTAGGTCTCAAGAAATCCAAGCTTTGCCTTGTTTGGAAGATCATGTGGATGAGCAAACGGGACTCCTTGTGGCCACCCTATCTCCATCCTAATGGAAGCACACGGGCTGTCAGTAGATTGAATATGGGTCTCACAATCCTTCAGGTTGCAGAACTTCATCTTTATGCCCTTCTTATCCGCAATGTCCTGAACTCTCTCCTTGAGAACTCTCTGTGCCTCCAGCCGTAACCTCTTTGAAGGAGGAAGAGCTTTAGATCTTGATTTGTTCTTCCTTTTCGTTGTTTCGGAAGTCCTCATAGATCCTGTAACCAGCATTTCATTGATCCGCCAACTTCCTATGGTTAAAAGATTCTCACTAAAGAATGGAGTGGTAAAGAACCAGTTTAAAATTGTGATATTTTTAAATTCAAAAAACTACTAAGCCCTGTTTAGTAGCATTATTCAGATAGTTTTGCTTGCTAGCAGATTAATGAGAGTACGTAGCCTTCACTTATTTGGCTATCAATCGCTTTTTGTTTCAGAAAAATAAGCAGATTCAGATTATCCATTTCATACAAACAAACCTTACCAAACCAAGGCCTATTCTTCACATTTCTGAAAACTTTTCCAAAGAACGTTATTTTTCACATTTCTTTTCCAGAAATGAGATGAAAACTAAATTATTCAAATTTGCATTGATGTCCAATTATGACAATGAAGTTCACAACTATAGGTCTACAAGCAAAGCTACAAATTTCCAGTAATTTAGACACACTTCTGTTTCATCTAAAGGCATTACATGTGGAGCATCCAGGCCAAAGTCCTTCAAATTAACATCTACTCTTTTGAACATGGACTCATTTTACAAAACAACACAACCACATTGTTTAAAGTGGACCTCTTTCAATTGGGTTATTAATGATATAATGTCGGCCTAACAAAAATACACCATTTTAGGAATAAAAATTAGGAGAGGGAAGCTAATCACGTGGTATTTGTTACTCCATTTAAAATATGTAGTATAAAATAGGATTCCAGGTAATATTACAAGTTAATTTTTAGTACTACTTAGAAAAAATGAAGTTGCAGTGCCTACCGTCTTGTGTGGTGGGGAAACTGAAAGTGGGAAAATTGTTCCTACTGAGAAGTTGATCAGTTGATCGCTGCATGAAGTCATCTACAGGTAGAGGTAGTTGAAAATGAGCTTCAACGCCATAACCAGCAGCTCTCATCTCAGAACAGTTCAGACTAGCTACGGATTTAGGCATGAGTTTAAAAGCCAGTGAACATATTCCTCCATGCAGATGATGCCCCTGCAGATTGCCAATATCCATCCTATGAACAGCGGTGCTGATATTTCCCGCAGTTGCCTGGTACAAAGCAAGTCCTGTATAAATGATTGCTTCTTGTGGTCCAAGGTCAGCATCCACAAGAACCCAACGACCATGAAAATCTCTGACATGTAATCCCGGCCTATCTGTCTTGAGAATGGTTAAAAGGCTTCTATCAACCTGATGCTCGTGATCCGATAGCATAACCAACTGATCACCACCATCTTGACCCGTCAGATTATGGTGTTGAAAGGATGGCCTTCCATGACATGAAACAGATAAAACCGAAGATGATATCTCACGATTCCTCAAAGGTACATTATCAAGAATTTCAGTGAAGGGTGAGCTGCGAAGGTTTAAGTAGAAACTAATGGCATCCAGTACGTATCTAGCGGTTTTGCCAAGTAATGCAAACACGTCCGCTAACCCGGCCGGTGGAAATTCACCTCCATCGTTGGGGTCAGTAGGAGTTAATCCTGGTCGGTAATCAAATGTTTCTTGCCATAGTTGAGGATCTGAATGGTAGCCAGACGTCTTGCACCACTCCCGAGAATCATCGGGATGAATCACTTCATCTGTGGAAGGGTATGAAGGCTTTTGGTGAAAGTAGAGTCGGACAGACTCAAGACAAGATCTTAAGAGAGCACCATCGCTGGTGGGTAGCTTGATAATGGCTGCCGAATAGTGAGCTAATGATTGGGACAGGGTAGAGGCTGATAATTTGTAGGAATCGGAAGGAAGGCCTTCTGATGGAATTAGGTCAACAAGCGTGACACGGCCCAGAGTTGGCAGGTCATTGCCTGCCATGGAAACTTATTTATTTAAGGAATGCTTTATAGATGCCAAAATTACTCAAGAACAGATTGGTAAAGGCATACGATTTATTTTTATCCTCTAAATTCTAGTGTGAACTCTATGAAGCTCCTAACCTGGGGAGAAATCGGGTGCCTCGACCGGCCCCGGCCGTGGTGCCAACAGGCTTGGTCTGAAGTGAAATTCTGTTTCTTCTTTTCCGGCGATGGAGAGATGTTGGGCTGCAGGCTAGCTGGGTCAGATGCACAGCAGGGGTTGTGGTCTGGAAGATGTCCGCATATATGAATCCGTTGTTAAAACTTTGGAAGGTTTTTTCTGCAGAACGGAGGCGACGAGGGGGAGGCTGCAGAAGTATGCCTTAAACGGTGATCAGATCGGTTTTGGAGCTGTCACATCTCAGTGTTTATCCATGGACATTGAAAAGAATGATGACTCGTATTTTACTCCCTTAAAACCGTGGGTTTTACTAATATAATAAAAATTGTGTGATTGAGGTTTCTCTTGAAAAGAAAGAATTAATCGAAAACACAAATTTTTTATTTAAAGTTGAAACTGACAAAACAAATTAGACATCCAAAAAAGAAGTTGGCAGAGTTACAGGGGACGGGACGAATACTTCTCACTTCATAATAAGGGCTTTTTTCCCTCAATATTACAAAAATGGGGATAAAAGACAAAAAATTGACTTCTTTTTTATATTTCCAAAAAATTGACCTACTTCACTATTATACCCTGCAGTGACAAAGTGACTCTGACTAAAGTGACTTCGGCCACGGGCCACATGTGAGCCACGCCACCAGGTATCCTGCTGACCGGCATGCTACCTGCAAAAAGTTGGTTTTAACAAAAAATACAAAGTAGGAGGACCTAAATGATGAAACTTAAAGTACGAGGGATAAATTGACTTTCCGTACAAACTAGGAGGGCCAATTTAACACTTTTCTCTTCAAAAAAAATCTTAAGAACAAAAATAGGACAATTTCAAAAGTTTACAACAGTCTTACGTATATGACATTTATGCCTTGAGGGTATACCTGCTGAGTAGTAGGATGAGCCGTGATCTAGAGCTGAGCTGCAGTGCTCAACTGGTTCTCGAGAAGAATGTTATGCAAGTTGGTCAAGAGAGTGTTGATAGTTGCTAAGCCACAGAAGGGTCTTGGATCATGAGGTCGACATGAGCGAGTTGAAGTTGGCGCACCTCCAGAGTCGTTGTGCTCTGTCTCATATCACGTGTCTTTTGCTGGACAGTTCCCCCACAAATCCACAACAACTCGTTTCTCGAGAGAATTTTGCCTGGAATGGTCATTGGTCTCCATATTTTTCTCCAGGTCTAGAGCAGTGGGAGCTGAGGAAACCGCAACCTTCGATTGAACTATGCAACCAATTTCAGCAAATGAATCGAACAAACTAGAGAGGTTATAACTTGTACTGCCCGAGCCTATGAATAAGAGCACCGAATGAGGGTATTAGAAGTCCGAGGTAGTAGAAAAGTAGAGAGAAGTTAAAGCAAATTTGGGGGTGAGGAAGTTGTGTAATAAATTTTGTAAAATTTATAGATATAGTACAAATTTGGGGGAGAGAAATCTATCTCATATTTAATTCTTTTAGCTATAAGATAAATTAGATAACAATTTAGCAGAATACTTTTTTCTTTCATATGTTACCACTAATTTAACTAATGCGCAACAAGTTCTTATTTAACTAATATCGTTAAGTTTAATATTTATTGTATTCACTTAAATTTTATGTCACTCACTTATTGCCCCTTCTTAGAATAGTAATAAATCATTAAAATTAACAAGTCGCAAATTCTAATGAGTGGTGTCAATTAGTTTTCCATAATATACTTTTCATAATATACTTTCATCGAATATTTATTGTGTGGGCTTATACTTTATGGTATTAGCTCATTGTACTTTTATTTTTCGAAAATGTGGAATTTAAAAAAGTTAATTTTATTTTAATATTTATTTAGATCATAAGTAAAATATGTGCACCAATTGCTCTTTCCCGTGCGTATGCACGGGTACAAATTTTTGGAGATGTACTTATGTGATCCAGGTGAAGAAACTTCAAATAGACTTAAAGCTGTCAGGTAAATAGATTGATTAAATTTTTTTACCCATTTAGTTATACTATTGATAACTTCAAAAATTCAGAATTTTATAAATAAATAATAAGTTGATTCCATGAATTTTTAATTTTTTAATGACAAGCTTTATATGATTAAACTTATACATCCTCCATGCGTAAGTAAATGCAACGGTCAACATTTCACATTTGCCGATACACAACTTTGACTATTATAATAATTCTCAATCACAAAAAATTTTAAAAAATATTTTGAAAATTCATGATTAGACAAATTTATCAATATTTTTTTTTCAAAAGTATATATTAATGCATGAGTAAATAAAACATAGTCAAAGTAGAACATGTGAATAATGTTAAATTCAATATGTTGCATTTATTTAATAACGGAGGTAGTACATAATGCTAAATTCATCTGATTATATCTACTTAAATCATTAGAATAATTATTTTAACCTATTTAGAAATACTTTTTTTAATTTCAAAATTTCAGAAAGCTTTTTATATACATAATAAGATGGTTCCATGTTATTTATTTATTTATTTATTTTTTATTTATTTATTATGACAAACTTTATATGGTTAAACTTATAATTAATGCTAATCTCTTATGAAAATATCTACTTTACCTACAAATACAGAAGTGAGGGTGGTACAAAATTGCATGATGCATTGGTGTCGGAGTTGACACATATGCTTGACACGTACAATGTTCATGCACAGTCATTTAGGATGGCAAGGGATAGATTTAATGCATCAAACTCCACAACGTTGAAAATGAGAATTATTGGGAAAAGGAGTTCGGATGGACGCACGTATAATACTCCAAGCGTTTCTGAAGTGGCGGCTTTAATTGAAGGGGACTTTGACGTAAATAGAAAAGAGAGAGATGTTGTCCTGCAAACAAAATCTGGGGCATTTCAGTTTGTGACCGAACTGAACCCTTCCTTTTTAGGCTTGCAATACCCACTACTATTTCCTTACGGTCAAGATGGCTTCAGAGAAGACGTTCTGTTGACGCGTGCAATAGAGGATAGCAATTATAACGGAGGGAGAAAATTTGCCACAATGAAAGATTTTTTTTCATACAGGTTGCAGGAACGCAAAGGTGAAACCCCATATCTATTGAGATGTCGAAGGTTGTTTCAGCAGTTTGTGGTTGATGGATATACAATGATCGAGTCATATTGATTGCAATTCATAAGATTCCATCAGAAAGAGATTCGAAGTGAATTGTACAGCGGTTTAGCAGATGCTGTTGTTCGAGGGGAAACAAGTGCATCTAGGACGGGCCAACTTATTGTTCTTCCTCCTACGTTCATTGGTAGTGCGCGTTACATGATGCAAAATTACCAAGACGCTATGACTATATGCCGATGGGCAGGGTATCCACAACTTTTTATCACATTCACTTGCAACCCGAGATGGCCAGAAATTATTCGCTTCGTTGAGCAAAGAGGGCTCCATCCAAACGATCGCCCCGACATCCTTTGTAGGATCTTTAAAATGAAGTTGGATTTGCTCATTAAAGATCTAAAACAAAATAAGTTGTTTGGGGACGTCAAAGCAGGTACGTGAATGTCAAAACATTACATACTGACGTGATTTATTTGCACAAGTTATATAACTTGGTTAACATCCGTAAATGTTTTTTTTAAATATTTCTAAACACGAGAAACTAAACTTCTTCCATTTAATGTGCAGTTGTATATACTGTGGAATTTCAGAAGCGTGGTTTGCCACATGCCCACATAGTTTTGTGGCTGTCTCAAACGAAAGGAATTATGTGTGCCTCAGACGTTGACAAAATCATTTCTGCTGAGATTCCAGATGAGTGTTCAGACCCTGCTCATTAATATGCGGTCAAAGAATTTATGATCCATGGACCTTGCGGCCATCTTAACAAGTCTTCGCCGTGTATGGATAAAGGTAAATGCACGAAGCATTTTCCAAAGAAGTTCAACGAGCGCACTAAAATGGATAAAAGTGGATATCCTATATACAGACGGAGGAGGAATGAAAGACATATCGTGAAGAATGATTGTCATCTAGACAATAGATATGTAGTCCCGCACAACCGTAATTTGCTGCTCAAGTATGAGGCACACATTAATGTTGAATGGTGTAGCCAGTCACGAGCGGTGAAATATCTATTCAAATACATAAATAAAGGTGATGATCGAATCACAGTCGCATTCTCCGAGGCAGCAGATAGCTCTAAGCAGCAGAAAATTGATGAGATCAATATGTACTATGATTGTCGGTACATCTCTGCTTGCGAGGCTGCTTGGAGGATTTTCGGATTCCACATACACTATAGGGATGTGCCAGTTGAGCATCTTAGTTTTCATCTGCCCGGTGAGCAAAATGTGTATTATAGTGCAGATAAATCTGTCCAAGACGTCCTATCGAATCATATGATTCACGAGACAAAATTTACTGCATGGATGAGAGCAAATCAAGTATACCTTGAGGCCAGAAAGTTGACATATGTGGACTTCCCTAGCAAATTTGTGTGGAAGAAAAAGATTAAACAGTGGGTGGAAAGACAGCGAAGTTTTGCGGTTGGACGTGTCTACTTCGTTCGCCCTGGAGCAGGTAAACAATAATTATAATTTAGATTAACACGGTTCTTAATCAAACTAAAATATTTTTAAATTTCAATGTTGTTTGGTTAAGTTAATTAAAGTTTACCCTCGAACACGTATCTTAAAATATTCTTAAAAAATCAAAGTTTATTAAGCCACTGAATATATTAATTTAGGTTTAATGATGAATTGTTCATGAATATAACTTTCATGAAGGTGATATTTTTACAATGTGCAGTGAGATTATCCTATAATTATCATAGTCCTATGATATTGTTTTTTGTGTTTCCTTATATTGTGATTTGTGTGTACTTTGTTCGCTCTAGAGCAGGTGAAAAATACTACTTACGCACCCTATTAAACTGGGTAAAGGGACCATGAAGTTTTGATGAGTTAAAAACAGTTGACGGCATATTATATCCCACATTTAGAGATGCTTGCTATGCTCGGGGATTGCTTTTAGACGACAATGATTACATTCAAGCCATCACCGAGGCAGGTCTATTTTCAACCACACCTTCATTGTGTGAAGTGTTTGTCACTCTACCCATTGCGGGCGCACTGTCAAAGGCGGACTTGGTCTGGGAGAAATGCCATCAGTATTTCTCAGAAGATATATTGTACAATATGAGAAGGACACTAAATGATCCAGGTATATGTGGGTTTTGATATAGTCAATTAAAAGTATCTCACTTGGAATTTGACTTTTTATTATTTAAATATGTAACTTTTAATGTAAATCACATACCTAATATGGCTAATATTTTCTGTAGAGCACGAAATGGATGATGGGGAGATAGAGAAATATTGTTTAGTGGAGATAGAGAAAATTCTTCAGCAATGAGGAAGATCATTACGTGACTTTGTTGGAATGCCATTGCCTCCTGACTCATACATGCCTTCGATGGAAGATGTTCTCATTAATGAGGAAATGAAATATGATAAATGTGCTTTGACTGAGGAGCATGAAAGTTTGATGGCTGATATGAATGATGAGCAACATGCTATATATGAGGAAATCTTGAAATCTGTACACAGAAAAAGTGGCGGTGTATTTTTCGTGTATGGATATGATGGTACTGGAAAAACATACTTGTGGCGGACTTTGTCTGCGGCGCTCAGGTCCAAGGGGCAAACAGTACTCAATGTGGCATCTAGCGGTATTGCATCACTGCTTCTACCAGGAGGAAGGACCGCACACTCCAGATTCGCCATTCCACTGGATGCAACAGAAGATTCTACATGCCACATAAAGCATGGAAGCCCATTGGCGAGGCTCATCGAACGTACAAGGTTGATCATTTGGGATGAATCGCCAATGACACATAGGTACATATTTGATGAATAATAAATGCAGAAATTACATCACATTCAAAATGATTCAATCAGTTGTAAAATGATCTGCAGGTTTTGCTTTGAAACCCTTGATCGTAGCATGAGAGATGTCCTTCACTACTCACATGATTGTGATTCTACCATTCCCTTTGGTGGGAAGACAATCGTCTTTGGCGGGGACTTCAGGCAAATATTGCCTGTCATTCCAAAGGGCACAAGACAAGACATTGTGCAAGTGGCTTTGAATTCATCATTTTTGTGGTCATACTGCAGGGTCTTGAAGTTGACAAAGAATATGAGACTCGGGCGCGTGGGAGGAACATCTTACACATTAGAGATTCAAAACTTTGCCGAGTGGATATTGAAGATTGGAGATGGAGACCTGGGGGACTGTGATGATGGAGAATCAATGGTTGACATCCCTGAAGAATTTATTGCTCCTATGACGGATGATCCAATTGAAGCTATTGTTAAGATCACCTATCCCGATTTTGAAATGCACTGTAATGATGTTTCTTATTTGAATTCAAGGGCAATTCTTGCAACAACAATTGATGAGCGCGACATGATCAACGATTACATGTTGGGATTGACTCCAGGTGAGGTAAAGACATACTTAAGCTCAGATTCAGCATCATCTTCTGACTCAGACAGTGCACTCCTTCAAGAGATCCACTCTCCCGAATTTCTCAATACCATTAAATGCTCTGGTGTGCCAAGCCATGAGCTGAAGCTCAAAGTGGGTGCACCTGTGATGCTAATGAGGAATATTGATCATTCCTCCAGATTGTGTAATGACACTCGCCTAATCGTCACTAAACTTGGAACCCATATTCTCGAGGCTCAGATGATGTCAGGAACAAATGCAGGGAAAAGATTTCTTATTCCGAAGCTTAGCTTGACTCCATCCGACCTCAAGCTGCCGTTCACATTTCAGCGTAGACAGTTTTCCCTTTGATGCTTAGTTACACGATGACAATTAATAAAAGTCAGGGCCAGTCTTTGGAGAGGGTTGCTGTTTTCTTACGTCGCCCGGTATTCACCCATGGATAACTTTACGTCGCGGTCTCAAGAGTGACGTCCCCGTCTGGGTTGAAATTTGTTATATGTGATGATGACGGAAAACAGGCCAAGAAGACTATAAATGTGGTTTAAAAAGAAGTATATAACAATTTGTAATTTTTTTATATTTATTTACCTTTGTTACAAACAATATATACATTGATCTCTATTTGTCACAACATTTTCTTATGTTCTCAAATTTTTTATTGCTTACTCCCTGCATCCCGTGCGAAGCACGGGTGAAAATCTAGTTTATGTTAATCACCTTGCTTACTATAGAGCATAGATTAACAAGTTTTGTCAAACCCTCTGGGGGCGAGCGAGTAAATTTAATTTTGTCGTTCAGCCCTGAATCGTTATCCAGGAGCACTAGTTGAATTTAATGTTTCCAGCGTTCCCAATATATGAAATACTGATAATTACTCAACATCAATTTTATTTCCTACCGATGAATTCCACATCTACTTAACGTACTCCGTGCAAATCCCCGCTCCTCAGAAACCCTAGAATTTATCGGCAAAGGGTCATCATCTCCGTTTGTCTGTCCGCCTGGTTTCAGTTTTGACCTTTCCAGATTCATTTTATCATCTTCTTGATCTTATTCATTTTTGTTTGTTTTTTTGTATTGAATTTATTTTCGCACAAAGTTTCGTTGTTAAGGATGGGGGTTTTATTACATCTTGTAAACTCTTTACGAGGGGTTTGCGTTTTTTAACAGGAAAATTTTGGGTTTCTGTAAATTTGGAAAATATAAACTCTAGTGTAGTTCGCTTTTTCGGTAAAGCTTCCGGCCGTTGTTTAGTTCGGTTGGACATGGACAAATTTAACCGTCCAGGTGGTCTCGAAGACGCTCATAATAATCAAGATCTCAAGCAAGTTGATTCAAATCCACAAGGTTCACTATCATCTCTCGACCTATTTTGTTACGTGAACTTTTTAAACCATCTATCCATAATTGAATGTGGTTGGTGATTCTGTTGGGTTCTTCTGGACTGTATTCCAGAGGCAATGATATACTCGATCAGTTTCAAGAACTAATCTTTACACGGTTTATGTTTTCTGGTCTCGGTTGTGGTGGTGTAAAGTGGATACAGATACTTATTGGCTAAGACGTTTTCCATTCTTAGATGTTAGGTTGCACAATCATTAATAGAGAAGAAACATTAAACGTAGTTTCTTGAATGTCATTCTCAATTAGATATTCTTAAGATTTTGATTGTCATTTCCAATCAACTATTCTTTTTATTTTCACCTCACTATTTTTTTGTAGCATTCAATACAGTTTGAATTCCTCAATGATTTGCAGCTTACTTTTTTTTGGTAGCATTCAATACACTTTGAATTCCTTGAATGATTTGCATAGCTCAGTTATCTCATAATCGCTCTCTTTGTTTTAGACATTAACTCTGTGGTTTTCTGGTGCAGGAAATGCTCTATTTGACGCATCACAGTATGCGTTCTTTGGTAATGATGTAGTTGAAGAAGTTGAATTGGGGGGTTTAGAAGATGAAGAGGAAGATGATGATCCTCTCCCACCTGGTTTTGACAGAAACGAATATCTGTCGGAGCAAGAAGAGGTGGGTTGCATTGCTCATGAGCCACACAGTTTTTTTTTGTTTAAATAGGAAGGGGAGTTTAGGCGCACTGGTTAAGGTGCTGTTGTGTGACCAAGAGGTCTTGGGTTCAAGCCTGGGGAGCGGCCTCTTGTCAAAATTTTGACAAGGGAATGCTAGCCCATTACACACCCTGTGGCGGGACCGCGGGACCTTTCATTGACCCTCGTGGCATTGCGGGTATGCCTTCGTGCATTTGGATGCCCATATATACAACTAGCAAGCTATTCAACTTGAAAATTTTACTGGACTACTGTAGTTGTTACTGTATTTAGAGAGGAAACATAGATGTTGAGGAATCATGTCTCATTTAAAGACTGAATAGCCATGATTTTTCATTAACGTCAACTGCAATTATCTAGATTAGTGTCATAACCATCCCACCAGAATGGATTGTCTAATAATGATTTCTGGTGTTCACAACTCATTTGGGGTTAATTTCCAGAATCTGAAATGAACTTTGGAGCTCAAGTTAACAATTATTTCATTCTTGCAGGTTGAAATGCTAACAACATATTCTGATGTTGACGATCTTAGTAGCACATTTTCAAAGGTAAACCATCGAACACATAAAATGAGTAAACCTGATTCATTTTCATCCTTTCCTTAACTCATTTGGAGTGATCTGTGAAATTTACATTTGACCTTGTTCTTTTTCCCTAATCAAGGTATCTTAAACTATTGACCAGTGTATGTCAGTGCTAGTTATTCATCCCCAACTAACCTTACAGCTGTGTACTAGCATTTGAAGTAGGATACTGCAATGCCAGTGTATTGTCAGTCAATCCCATCCATCTTGATTACCTTAGATCCAATTGTGTCCGAAGTCAATGGCATCATCTTGATTACTTTAATTCCAACTGTGTCCGAAGTCAATGGCATCATCTTTGTAATGTCAAAATATTGTCTATAATCAGTGACCACTATAAATTGATTAAATTCAGGAAAGGTTAGTTACACTTTAGTCTTAAGAAAGAGCAATGACATCAAATTCCAAATCTGCCTTCATCACAGGGGTTTCCTTTTGCTTGAGAAATATCCCTAGAGGATAACAATCAATTGAAATATCTGCAAGTCATGTCCCATTCAATAACGACAATGTAAAGTCAGCATCATTACTTTATGGAACATTGCTGTTATTTCGTCATATTGTTACCAAAAGAACTCAGGGCAATAAAAAATGTCTCATTGAAATCTATTGCCGTCTTCAATCATACAATTTAATCCCGATTCTTCATCTTATACAGTTCTCTTACAGATTTACTCAATAGCTATCTCAAGTGGTCGTATTTTGTTCCTTGTCTCAATATTCTTGTTTTTTAATTAGCAGTTGAACAGAGCTGTTGGAAGGCCAGTAACAGCGGCATTTTTTGGAGGTAGAGAATCTAGAGAAAGTAAGTTTTGCGTTGTTTGCGCTGTTTTTTATTGCTTCATTATATGGCTTTTGACCTTATAATAATTGGTTCACATTTTGGTTCCTATGTCAATTTAGAGGGTGTTCGGTTAAGCATAATTCATAGAGCGTAATTGATTTTTTGCAGTCTGCATGCTGAAGTTCACAAACTCAATTTCATTTTATAATGAAAATGTAAAGCCTATTTAACTAAGTTATGTTTTTTTCGGACTTTTGGCCCTTCAAGTTACAAAGTCACAACAGCCTCACTTAAGTTTTACTTTTGGAATGTTCTATAATAAGGCAGACTGCTCTCAGGGCTGAGCCTTCCAAAGTCAGATTCATCTTTAATTCTTGGAAGTTTTTTCTTGTTGTGTCATACTGTCATCACTTTTTTCCGCATATTTTTTTTTTGTTTTTTTTTGACAATTTTCTTTTCTCTCTTTTTAAGGCTCATCTGCTGCTGATTATGTCCAAGAAGTAGATTTTCAGGATTGGTATGATCAGCGTGGCTTTGGTGCTGAACGCAATGAAGACAACAAAAGAGGGTTGTCACAACATCATCCTTATAACTCTTCTTCATCTCAGCCTTTGTATAGAGCACTGTCATATCCTGACCAAGAACAGCAGCATCCACGACACCATCACTACTCCAGTGATGCAATCCTGATCCCGAACACATCAGTTCCTCCTCCTCCTGGTCCTCACCTGCTTCAAGCTTCTCCAAACAACAACTCCAGTACTGCATACCGGCCTGGCTCACACCCAATCCCAGTTTCTTCACCTAATTTCTCTCAATTTTCTACTAGCCCTCAGAATCAAATGAATGCCATCATGCATCATGTATCACAATATGGTGGAGGAATCCTACCCCCCCAACAGATTAACACTCATATTCAAAACCAGCAGCTGAACCAATTACCACCGCCTCATCTAAATGGCATGTTGCCTCAGATGCGCCACCCCCACCGCCCTCTCCTGTCACCCTTTGGCACTTCGGCATTGCAGTCGCAACGGTTCAATTACCATCAGCAGCAGCAACAACCTCAGATGAATACTTTTGAATTTGCCAATTTCAAAGATCAAAGGGCTGCAGAGTCTATGCTGAGAAGTGGTGCTAGACATGTTGGTGGCATGGGCATGCGTAGTAGTGGCTGGCCAATATTCAAGGCCAAGTACATGTCGACAGATGAAATCGAGAATATTCTACGGATCCAGCTTGCGGCCACCCATAGCAACAACCCGTATGTAGATGATTATTACCATCAGGCTTGTTTGGCTAAAAAGTCTGCGGGTGCAAAGTTGAGACACCATTTCTGCCCAACTAACCTGAGAGATGGAAGTTCCCAAAACAGGGCCAGTGCTGAGACACATGCATTCCTCCAAGTTGACGCGCTCGGTAGGATGTCCTTTTCATCAGTCCGCAGGCCGCGACCGCTTCTTGAAGTTGACCCACCGAACTCATCTCCAACAAATAGTGAACAGAAAGTGTCTGAAAAGCCCTTGGAGCAGGAACCCATGCTTGCTGCTAGGGTCACCATAGAGGACGGGATTTGTCTACTCCTTGATGTTGATGACATTGACCGCTTCCTACAGTTTAGCCAACTCCCAGACAGAGGGGAGCAGTTGAGCAAAAGAAGGCAAGCACTGTTGGAGGGGTTGGCGTCATCCCTTCAGCTGGTGGACCCGCTCGGCAAAAACAGCCAGTCAGTTGACATGTCACCCAAAGATGATCTAGTGTTCTTGAGAATAATCTCCCTTCCCAAGGGCAAGAAGCTGATATCCCGGTACCTTCAGCTTCTCTTTTCCGGCAGTGAACTTGGCAGGGTGGTCTGCATGGCCATTTTCCGAAACCTTAGGTTTCTGTTTGGGAGCATTCCCACTGACCATGGGGCGGCTGAGGCGACTAAAGACCTTGCGAGGACCGTTTCATATTATGTGAGGGGCATGGATCTCAAAGTAGTATCTGCTTGCCTTGCATCCGTGGTTTGTTCAGCAGAACATCCTCCCCTCCGTCCCATTGGAAGCCCTTCAGGTGATGGGGCATCTGTTGTTCTGAAATCTGTTCTAGAGAGGGCAACTGAGCTTTTGAGGGACCCAAACGTCGACCCAAAGTGTGTAGCACAGAACAAAGTGTTCTGGCAGGCATCTTTCGATGCCTTTTTTGGCTTGGTTACAAAGTACTGTTTTAATAAGTACGACACTGTCATTCAGTCTTCTCTTGCAGTGGGGGCCGATGCGGCCAGAGCTATAGGGAGGGAGATGCCGGTTGACCTCTTGCGGGCCAGCCTTCCTCACACCAGTGAACAACAGAGGAAGGTGCTGTTGGATTTTACACAGAGGTCTATGCCGGTGCCTAGCACCTAGTTGTGGTGGTGGAAATGGCAGCAGCATGTTTTGAGGTTTTGGTTACACCCACTTGTTTTGTCCAAACATGTGATCATAATGGCAATAATGGCGTGTCACAGCTCGTTGGCAGTTAATGTTTTTTAGATAGATCTGATATATGCCACAACTTTTTCAGTACTCTGATACAATGGTATACTAGTTATGTTGCGTGGTTGGGTAGCTTGTGATGTGCATGGCATGCAGGGTTTTTCATTTTAAAAAAATGGAATTTGGAGCATAATTTGGTTATTTTTTCATCCTTGTTCTCTGTGGTAGGGTTGAAAAGGGGTATAAATCTTAAAGTCGTTAGATGGTCATTGGAAGAAATTTCTACTTTGTAACGTTGAATGCTATATATATAAGAAGTTGTCTTGATGTTTGATGCTAGAGTTTCTGCTTGTCATGTTTCTACATTTTCAGGGCCCCTGCATGTTTATACGGATTAACCTTATTTTATTTATTTGTTGAGATTGAGATTTGAGTCTATTATTTGTTTTAAAGAAAAAAATTGTGGGTGGTTGTGTTAGTGATTTAGGATGTTTTTTACTTGTGCTGAAATTTATTGGTTTGATCCGGTGGTATTTACTATGAAAGTTCGGTCTATTCTGATGTGATCCGGTTTGAGATTGAAAACTGTCCAAACAAAAACATCCGTAGTTGTAGTTTTTCAGGTGGCAAAACATTAAAAGTCCGTTCGATAACTTAAATTGATTTAATTTGTTGAAATTGATGAAATATTATTTGAAGCAGTTGAATTAGTTGAACTAGGAATAAATTATACTACGTATTTAAAATATACTTTATTTATAAAATAAAAAATCAATTATATGAAAATAGCTAAATTGTCTTTTAATTCAACCGGAAATCTAATTTCAATCTTATATTTAGTTATTACATATTACATATTTAAGTCTGCGATATTATAAGTTTTTTTTTAAGTAAACGATATTGTAAGTTATGTACGGAGTATTTGGTAAAAAGTTACAACATGCGGAGTATTTTAAAAAAAAATAACAACTCATATACGGAGTATTAAAATTAGACTTCAACAAATTCACAATATAAATAGGCGGAATTTCCACAAATTCACAATACAATAGGGGTTAAAAGTTTGTTAATAAACTGAAATTAAGGGTTATTAAACGGGCTCACAATACAATACTAGTATTTGTGTATTTGTTGATCGTTGCTTTATAGTTACTTTTGAAGTTTACATTTTAGGCAATAACAAGAATGGATAACAAATAGTACTCCGTAATGCAATAGTTAAACTTAATTGATGAATTTGAAGTCATATCCTTAAAAAACGACTCATGCTCAAATTGGATTTTTAAGCTTGCAACCTCAACCAGCTTCATTAGCACCCTGTCCCAGACAAATTACCCAATTCTCGGTTAAAAAATAAAAACATATCCATTTGCTTCGTTTAAAGCTCCGTAACCATGTCCGACGACTCAACGGAAACCCGTCAATTGGACTTAGCTGGGGACGACTTACCCTCCGGTGCCATCAACGTCAATGACAGCAATGCCAATAGCCCCACCTCAGTTTCTGCCATAGGTGAAGCCCTATCCGCCTTGATTTCCTCTGTGATTAGGGAATTCGACGGCAGAGCTGACGCGACTTCCCGCAGTCAAGAGCAACTCTCTTTCGCCCTCGATCGTCTCACCGGAGGTTTAGTTATTCACCCTCATCTCATGGTAGAAAACAACTTTTTAGCAACTAGTGCCAATTCTGATTATTTTTGCAGATGCACTTGTGCTTTGATTTCGTTTTGATTTGGGCGTTTGGAATGTCTATTCTCGATGAGTCTTTTTTGTTCTCGAAATGCCTCACCACTGTGACCAAACCCTTATCTCAAGGGGATCCTGACTGAATGTTGTTTTTTCACTTCTTACTAAAACTGGTGGATTCGTTAACTGGAACATTTGAAAATGCTTGTTGGCAGAACTTGACAAGCTGTTGGAGGATGTGCCATTCCCTTTCATCATGCAACACGCTGGGAGGATATCTGCTGTTAGAAAGAGAGTCACATCCCTAAATTATGTTTTGAAATCCTTACAAAGGCGTGTAGATAATATTGACAGGATGGTTGCGCCCACAGGCGTAACGCATGGTGCGTTTCTTGGCTGTCAACTTTATCATTCCATACTTTCTACCATGTGTCTTAGTTCTTATGCATAGCTTCAGTTCACTCGCTATTTGGGAATAACTTGACAAGTGAATTGAAGCCTTGGCTTTGATATGTTTGCCTTGACAACTTGGCAACCAGGCATAATAGATGTGCACACCCGATATCTACTCTGGGTTTGGCAACCGGGCATAAATTATGCGCACACCCGATTTCTACTCCGGGTTAGGACCCCGCTATATGTGCTAAAAAGGTATTCATGATAAGGGTATAATTTAGTTACATTTTAACATGCAGAAAGAAAGACCGGGGATGATGGGGGACAACATTGAGATGTCTCTTCGAAGAGGTAATCTTAGTTCCAGTGTTCCACGTACTGATGCCAACCTCTTTCACATTATATTACTCTTAATAAGGATAAGTGAGCTGTGCAATTGTGTACAGTTATCCAATACATCATCTGCGATATTTTTTTCGCATTTATTTTTTTCCCAAATACTGTAAAACGTGAAAAAAACCATTTCATCACAGCCTACGTGAAGGTCTTGCTGTGTGACCGAGATGTCATAGCCTCACAGGGTCAAAGCTTGGGAGCGGCTTCTTGTCAAAATGACAAGGGAAGGCTTGCCCCCTATATACCCTTGTGGCGGGACCCTTCCCGGGACCCTCGCCCTATGGGGACGCCAATGCGTACAGGGCTGCCAAAAAAAGAGGCAATTCCATTCATTTCCTTCAAATTTCAGAGGAAGAAGTTATCGGTGTTGTTCTTTAATAGATTAAGTGACAGACATTGCCTTGTCATTCATAAGTATGTCAAGACTTGCCTGATTCACAATAAGACACATACTCCGTATGTGTGAAGCTTTTATGAAGCAATAGTAATGCAATGAATGATTCACCCAATGCAAGCGTGGACATAATCTTTGAAGTGTGCCCATGTCGGTTGACGCGGCAATTACTATTCTCTCTCCACTGTGAACATTTCATTTCGTCTAGCAGGTGTAATTCGCATGTTGCTTTGCTGCATGGTATGTTGGCCTGTCCTGTTTGCGTGTGTCCTTGTGCTTTTGCAAGTGTTGCTATTATGTACAGAGGCAGCAGAGTTGTGGAATAACTATGACACCAACTTAGGGGCTGATTGATTTTTTCCATAAGTCTTCTATGGATTAAGTTGTGATTAAGTTTATTTTTGGATTGTCTACTCAATGAGGACATATGTTTCATAATGAGTTAAAAAAAATTGGTTGGGTAAACATCTTAATAGGTGTCTTCATGTGGAAGGAGTAGTCACAACTTATAAGTATATCACGGCTTCATAAACAAGTTATTTTGTAGCTTAGTAAATAATAAGTATTTTTTAAATAATAAGTATATTTTAAATTCAACGGAAGCTCTCTTTTCTTGGTTTTGGTTTTATCAATAGTTGAAAGAGATAAGTTTTTTGTCATAAACCAAATGAACCCCCTTCATTGATATGCTGCTGTACCGATTATATGCCGGATTGCCGGATAGGCGCCTGCCCCCAATTCAGTGTCCATCTTCATGAAATGGCATTGGTAAACGGGTTGGGACCAGCCTGGTTTCTATCCCGGTGAGCAAGGTTCCTTTGGTGTAAAATAGTTATTGAGGAATTTCTTAAAGCAAATGCGTATCCCCCCTCCTTTTTTTTGTCAGGATGACGAAAAAAAACGTCATTCCTGCCAAGGTTGCATCTCTTAATTCAACCTACTCAAATCTTATCTAACCCAAAAGGGCATAGTTTATCCTCCAATGCATGGTTGTCATTTCTGCTTAGCGTGAAACTTGATATATATTCTTAAGCACGTTTAATATGACAATGCACGAAATTGGTGTTTTTGCTTGATTTCAATCAGATGGATATATGCTGTTAAGGCTTTTTTTCATACTTTGGTGGATGGGTGAACGTAGTGTTAAGTGGAGCCCCTCTCCCCTTGAGATATGTTTGGGAATTTGGGGGGGGGGGGGGGGGGGGGGGGGAGGAAGGGAATATTTTGAATGTTAGCTGTGAGATGGGGGTGGAGTGAAAGAGACCTTCACTTTGATTTGGAAGTGACAAATTTGGAAAGAGATGAGCTACTATAATTATAATTAAAATCGCTTAAGATACTTTGTATATTGAATTCAAATAGTTGAATAAGTATTTATTTTAAATTAAGTTAGAATTATAATTTACTTTATTATCCTTCAAGAACTTCCAAATTGGAGAAATTTAGGAATTGAGCATTAAGAGTTTTATTTGTATGACCCCCCCCCCCCCCCCCCTTTCATATCTATAAAAGGATTTCTCTCCTCCTCCTCCTCTAGATTAGCTTTAAGACTCCATTAATGGGAGCTCTTGCACAATGTAAAAATGGTGAGAAATTATTAATAAAAAGAGAATGACTTAAACATAGTGTGAAAAGTCTCTAGTTTTCGACCTTTCGAGATTTTAAGTTAAAATTGAGTGTTCATACATTGATTTATATTTATATAACAAATCTGTGTTGAATTAGTTTCAACAATTTATATTTGAAGACATGCAATATTTTTCAAGTTATATTGGTAGTATCTTATACTATCGGTATTAGATAACTTATATTTCATCCTTGCCTCAAATTACATTTCCACTTAACATAATTTACATTTAGACTTGTGTCAAGTTACACTTTCATGAATGATATTTAAATTTTGATTTGCATGAAGTTATATTTTCAATAACATAATGTGCATTTGGACTTGTCTCAAGCTACACTTCAAATAACGCAATTTACATTTCATTTATAAAGGTTGAGAGAATAACCACCGGAGCACGGGCGGAGCCAGGGCCTAGGCCCAACTAGGCCAGTACAAAGATTTGTTTGGAAAATATTTTACATGCAATTTTTTATCTTAAAATTCAAGACACTTTAATTTGAGGTGGATTAGGTCCTAGGTTGACCACCTCAGATCGGCTCCTGGATTGGAGGAAATAACACGAGTCACAGTTAGTCTTGGACCCGGTTTGGGCCGCCCGCCCCGTGAACCGGCCCGGACCTTCGGTCCCAAAAACGGGCTTTGACCCGAACCGGTAGGAATAGCGGGGGCAGTCCCGGTTCACCCCATTCTTTGGAACCAACCCGGGCCCGGTTCGGGGCTTCTAATTTTTTTTTTTTGGTTTTTTCATTGTTTTGAGCTTTTTCCTGAGTTGGGCTGGATGTTTGGGGGGGGGGGTTTGGGGGGGGGGGGGGTAGAGGGTTAATAAGAAAAGAAAAAAAACATGGATCCGGTCCGACCCAGACCTGGCCCGGCCCGGCTCGGACCCGGTGGTAACCCGGGCCGGTCCCGGACCTTCAACCAAAAATAAAAAACCCGGCCGGGCCTATGCCCGACCCGGACCCAACCCGGACCCGAGTCCATGACTAGTCACAGTACACAAGTTACATTACACCGCTAGTTGTGATTACATTGCACAGGACTTGCGTCACAAAAATTGAGACAAAACAATATTTGATGTTCATCCACGTTTTTGAATTTATACAATCATATTTTTAAACATCATGTCCAAACACAATATGATAGCGGTAAACATCTTCAAGTTATACAATCATATTTTTAAACATCTTCATGTCCAAACATAATAAGATAACGGTAATATTAATCTTTCAGAACTCTATGATCTACTTTTTTATATTAAATGCTATGAGATGCATTTACTGTTACAAATTTATAATACGGAGTAATATTTCAGATGTGTACACTTTATTAAAACGCCAATAAAAAGAAGGGAAAACTGTCAAATAGGTCCTCGAACTTTCATAAAAAAGTCAATTAAGTCCTTCTATAGGAGACTCTGTCCGGCCGTCGCGATTTGGGTCGGTTCCCGGTGGAATTTTTTCATGAAATTTTTTAAGCATCTTATTCATCAAGTCTAGTTTACCCATACCAAATCTCAGCTAAAAATTCAATCGGGAACACATTCAAATTAATTCTTGAAGATAACTGCGCATTTTTGCGTTCTCGAATTAATTTGAATGCGCTGTGGGCTGTGTAGGCTGTGTATACCATTAAAATAAAAAAGAGGAGAGAGTACGGATGTTTGGGGGGGGGGTTTGGGGGGGGGGTAGAGGGTTAATAAGAAAAGAAAAAAAACATGGATCCGGTCCGACCCAGACCTGGCCCGGCCCGGCTCGGACCCGGTGGTAACCCGGGCCGGTCCCGGACCTTCAACCAAAAATAAAAAACCCGGCCGGGCCTATGCCCGACCCGGACCCAACCCGGACCCGAGTAGGCTGTGTAGGCTGTGTATACCATTAAAATAAAAAAGAGGAGAGAGTACGGAGCCTCCAAGAATAATAAACATCTAGATCGGTCGTGCGGTCAAGCCCGTTTGAGTCTCTTTCAAATGAAACATTTTAAAACATGTTTTTAAATTTATATTATCTCCATAAAATTTCAAAATTTTGACTAGAAATTAATCGGAAAGTCAATAAAGATATTGTTATTTACTCTACTTTTTATTTTATTTTTTTTATACAAGAGAATACTAATCAAGCTTATCATAGTGATAGTTCTATACTATCTATAAGATATGTATAATCTCAGATTGATAGTTCATATGTATGATATGTAATTATGTATAATCAATAAAGAGTTTCAAAGAGTTTCTACTAAATACTATCGTATATAAACTCGATTTAGGTATCAATAGCATTATAATACTCATCAAAGTGTGGGTGGATGACCTCTCAACATATATGAAAATACGCTTACAGTAAAAAAATGTAGTGTGAATTGCATGCACAAAGGGAAACGAGGTGAACAACATATATAATATTAGGTTGAGTTAGAGAAAATTATATTTAAAATTAAATTTCTAGTAATGAAAGATATAAAACAATGTATAATAAAAAAACTAAAATGGTTCTCTACAATAATTTTAGTAAACTCAATCGGAAAAACATTAATATTACTAATTGTGATTTTTACATAATTCAGCATACAAAATTAAAAGTTCTATACTATGTATTTAATAAAAATGTTACTCTCTCTGTCTCATTCAGAGGTTTTCACTTTACTTTTCTAAAAGTTTCATATAAAGGTTCTCACTTATATTTTATACTCATTATAATATATACTCATCAAAACTATTTCTCAAAATATACTCAAATAACCTTATCCATTAATGTCTAACCAATCTTGTTATTTTATAGTGAGAACGTTTGAAACGAAACGGTTTAATAAAACCAATTAGGTGAAAATGGGTTATAAAGTAAGGTCTTATTGGATCAAGTGATCAACGTTAACTCTGCACTCACAAATGTTACTCCCTCCCGGTAGGATTGCTACATCTTTTCTTTTGTTATTCATCTTCTAAGATTGTCTTATAACAAATTTGATAAAATTTATATGGATTTAAATAATTTTTTATTTTATTCATTCTTATTTTATCATTTGATATCAATTACTCTCTCCGTCCCGGAAACAAGTTCCCGGATTGACTTCACAAATTTTAAGGAAATAAAGTTACCGAGAGGTAAATTTTACTGTTTGGCACTGTTTTGACACTGTTTAGCCTGTTTCGACACTGTTTTGCACTGTTTGACACTGTTTTGATGTAGGATAACTTTCCATTTAGGGAAATGAAAAGTTTATTTTGGGACATCCAAATAAGGAAAGTGAGAACTTGTCTCCGGGACGGAGGTAGTACATAAATAAACTTTGCTTAATAATCATATACCTCCTCATACTCCTTAGGTAGTAAAAAATTCACTTTCCTTTTTCATCCATGGTAAAAAAACTTCTCATTTCTAAATCTTCACATCATACCCTCAATTATTCTTAAAATAATACACTATTACAACTATCTTTTTTGGATTTATCTTACGTTCCATCACATTATTTCACTATCTTCTCATCATACCCTCAATAATTTATATCTTCTTTCACTATTATTAATGCTTTTGAAACGGGAAGATTTTTAAATTATAGGGGAAGTATTTTTAATATTACATGGAAGAAGCAATTGATTGAATTGGGACACACAAAGATAAGGTGATTTGGTTTGGTTGGGTTGGGTTGATAGATGATAGCCATTTGGCGGCAACGAAATATGCATAAGACATGGTCACATCGGCTTGACCATAGTCAATTGGTTCTAGGAAGCGGGGCCCATTTCTGTCTCCATCTACTCTACCTCGCTCCTCCCTATGCACCACAAACTCCGTTATCGTAGCCACTCGCCTCCTACCACCCATCCGTCCTCCTTCCTTTCAATCAAACCCTAGCTACCAGCTACGACAAATAACTGCTACAGTGCCCGGTTTGTTTGTTCATTTATTTATTTCTACATCTCTCCATCTCTATCTCTGCGATTTTCAGATTCCCTCCCATTCATTCAGACTGATCC